TTCAATAACAACTTTTAAGAGAGAAGTAGATGGGTATTTGGGGAGGACGGGATTGCGGGGCTGTGGGGAGAAAGCGGGCGGTGGGATTGAGTCGGAAGCTCTTGTCGGAGCCGATGGGCCGAATGGCCTCTTTCTGTGCCGTATGATTCTATGATTCTATAGATAGACACACACAAAGAGAAAGACACGCAGAAACAACAACAACTTGGATTTATATAGCGCCCTCCAGGCCGGACGGCGTCTCAGAGCTTCACAGTGACGGATACCGTGGTCGGGGAGGGGGAGGGGGAGGGGGGGGGAGGAAGTTGACCAAAGGCGCAATCTTCAGCCGAGATGTAAAAAGAGCAAAGCGATGAGGGGACGGAGCAACGGAAATACACACGTACACGGAACAATAGATACCTATATACATACAAAGAGAAAGATAAACACACACACAGAAAGATAGAGACACACACACAGAAAGATAGAGACACACGGACATAGAAAGATAGAGGCACACAACAACAACAACAACAACAAGATTCCATTTATAGAGCGCCTTTCACGTCAGGAGGACGTCCCAAGGCGCTGCACAGTTGGGTCATGACCCGAGCATTGGGGGGAAATGGTCAGGGTGAGGGAGGGAAGGAGGGAGAGGAGGGGGAAATGGTCAGGGTGAGGGGAGGGAAGGAGGGAGCGAGGAGGAGGGAAATGGTCAGGGTGAGGGAAGGGGGGAGCGAGGAGGAGGGAATGGTCAGGGTGAGGGAGGGAAGGGAGGGAGCGAGGAGGAGGAAATGGTCAGGGTGAGGGGGAAGGGAGGAGCGAGGAGGAGGAAGAGAGTCGAGAGGGGAGCTGAAGGCACGGTCAAAGAGAAAGGTTTTGAGACCGGCCTTGAAGGAGGAAAGGGAGGAGGCGGCGAAGGCACTGGGGGATGGAGTTCCAGAGCCTCGGGGCTGAGAGGCTGAAGGCCGACCACCGATAGTAGGGCGGTTGGGGCGGGGGACGTGGAGCAGACCGGAGCCAGAGGAACGGAGGGTACGGGCAGGTAGGTAGGGGGATAGTAGGTTGGAGAGGTAGGAGGGAGCAAGGCCGTGAATGGCCTTGTAGGTGAGGATGAGGATCTTGAAATCAAACACACACAGAAAGATAGAGACACACGGACATAGAAAGATAGAGGCACACACACAGAAAGATAGAGACACACACACAGAGAAAGATAGAGACACACACACAGAAAGATAGAGACACACAGACACAGAAAGATAGAGACACACACACAGAAAGATAAACACACACACAGAAAGATAGAGACACACACACAGAAAGATAGAGACACACAGAAAGATAGAGACACACAGAAAGATAGAGACACACACAGAAAGATAGAGACACACACACAGAAAGATAGAGACACACACACACAGAAAGATAGAGACACACGGACATAGAAAGATAGAGACACACGGACACAGAAAGATAGAGACACACGGACACAGAATGATAGAGACACACGGACACAGAAAGATAGAGACACACGGACACAGAAAGATAGAGACACACGGACACAGAATGATAGAGACACACACACACAGAAAGATAGAGACACACACACAGAAAGATAGAGACACACAGAATGATAGAGACACACACACAGAAAGATAGAGACACACAGAAAGATAGAGACACACACACAGAAAGATAGAGACACACACACAGAAAGATAGAGACACACACACAGAAAGATAGAGACAAACGGACACAGAAAGATAGAGACACACAGAAAGATAGAGACACACACACAGAAAGATAGAGACACACAGAATGATAGAGACACACACACAGAAAGATAGAGACACACACACAGAAAGATAGAGACACACGGACACAGAAAGATAGAGACACACACACAGAAAGATAGAGACACACACACAGAAAGATAGAGACACACACACAGAAAGATAGAGACACACACACAGAAAGATAGAGACACACACACAGAAAGATAGAGACACACACACAGAAAGATAGAGACACACGGACACAGAAAGATAGAGACACACACACAGAAAGATAGAGACACACACACAGAAAGATAGAGACACACACACAGAAAGATAGAGACACACGGACACAGAAAGATAGAGGCACACACACAGAAAGATAGAGACACACACACAGAAAGATAGAGGCACACACACAGAAAGATAGAGGCACACACACAGAAAGATAGAGACACACACAGAAAGATAGAGACACACACACAGAAAGATAGAGACACACACAGAAAGATACACACACACAGAAAGATAGAGACACACAGAATGATAGAGACACACACACAGAAAGATAGAGACACACAGAAAGATAGAGACACACACACAGAAAGATAGAGACACACAGACACAGAAAGATAGAGACACACACACACAGAAAGATAGAGACACACACACACACACACAGGAGAAAGCTATGAATGCGGCAATATCTCTTATCAGGCGATCACCGCATTTGAGGAAGACTCTGGACCCCGTGTATACTGAGCTCCTCAGGACTTTCCGACCTATTGACTGCCACGAAATGCACAGTCACTACACTTTTCCAGTATATCCTGCGAAGGAAGAGCTTTGAGGCGTCTTGAACGTGTGTTGAGGCTGTGTGTCAAATGCAAGGATTGTCATTGGTATTTATTACTATTTTGTCTTGAAAATGTGACTGGAACACAGCCTTTTAGGGGAGAGAGAGTTTCCAGATTCTTTGTGTGAAAGAAAGACGGAAACATTTATTATTATTCTATTATTTTTTGCCTCTTTCAGAGTATTCCCTTCACCGGGGCAATATTTGGGGGAATGCAAGAGGGGAAAATGGTGATGATTCAAGGACAAGTACCTCAATATGCTAAGAGGTAAATTGTAGAGATTTTTTTCCGCGCACGTGGAAACCCGTAACCGTGTCTGACACACACACGCGCGCAGAAACCCGTCACCATGATCAGTGGGGTGTCTGGTAAACACACACACACTAACACACGCACACGCGCACACACACGCGCGCAGAAAGCCGTCACCATGATCAGTGGGGTGTCTGGTAAACACACACACACACACTAACACACGCGCACACGCACACACACGCGCGCAGAAACCCGTTACCATGATCAGTGGGGTGTCTGGTAAACACACACACACACACTAACACACGCACACACGCACACACACGCGCGCAGAAACCCGTCACCATGATCAGTGGGGTGTCTGGTAAACATACACACACACACACACTAACACACGCACACACACGCGCGCAGAAACCTGTCACCATGATCAGTAGGGTGTCTGGTAAACATACACACACACACACACTAACACACGCACACACACACACACAGAAACCCGTCACCATAATCAGTGGGGTGTCTGGTAAACACACACACACACTAACACACGCACACACGCGCGCAGAAAGCCGTCACCATGATCAGTGGGGTGTCTGGTAAACACACACACTAACACACGCACACACGCACACACACACACGCGCGCAGAAACCCGTCATCATGATCAGTGGGGTGTCTGGTAAACACACACACACTAACACACGCGCACACGCACACACAGGCGCGCGCAGAAACCCGTCACCATGATCAGTGGGGTGTCTGGTAAACACACACACACTAACACACGCGCACACACACACACACACTAACACACGCGCACACGCACACACAGAAACCCGTCACCATAATCAGTGGGGTGTCTGGTAAACACACACACACACTAACACACGCACACACGCGCGCAGAAACCCGTCACCATGATCAGTGGGGTGTCTGGTAAACATATATATAAACATATAAATATACAGTCAATTCACTTTACAGTGTGTTCTGTGTTCTGTGAAGCGCTTTGGGACGTCCTCCCGACGTGAAAAGCGCTATATCAAATGCAAGGATTATTATTATTATTATTTCTCACGGTTATCATGAATGTTTGCCGTCAGGTTCCAGGTGGATTTTCAGTGCGGGGCCGGTGTGAGCCCCCGCCCCGATATAGCGCTCCATTTCAACCCCCGTTTCAGTGATGGAGAGCTGATTGTGTGTAACTCGCTGCAGAATCAGCGCTGGGGCAGTGAGGAGAGGAAGCAAGGAATCCCCCTCTCCCGGGGAACTTACTTTGAGCTCATCTTCCACCTGCGACCATACTGCTTTCAGGTAACCGGTCACCAGCCCCACACTCACTCTCACACTCAGACACGCTCACACGCTCACACGCTCTCACACTCGCACACAGACACGCTCATACTCTCACACACTCACACGCTCTCACACGCTCTCACACGCTCTCACACGCTCTCACACTCGCACACAGACACGCTCATACACTCACACTCTCACACGCTCACACGCTCTCACACTCACACGCTCACACGCTCTCACACTCGCACACAGACACGCTCATACACTCACGCTCTCACACTCTCACACGCTCTCACACTCGCACACAGACACGCTCATACACTCACACTCTCACACTCACACGCTCTCACGCTCTCACACAGACACGCTCATACACTCACGCTCTCACACTCTCACACGCTCTCACACTCGCACACAGACACGCTCATACACTCACACTCTCACACTCACACGCTCTCACGCTCTCACACAGACACGCTCATACACTCACACTCTCACACGCTCTCACACTCCCACACAGACACACTCACACTCTCACACTCTCACACGCTCTCACACTCCCACACAGACACACTCATACTCTCACACACTCACACGCTCTCACACTCGCACACAGACACACTCATACACTCACGCTCTCACACACTCACACTTTCTCACACTCGCACACAGACACGCTCATACACTCACACTCTCACACACGCTCACACTTTCTCGCACTCGCACACAGACACACTCATACACTCACACTCTCACACACAGACACACTCATACACTCACACTCTCACACACTCATACACTCACTCTCACACACAGACACACTCATACACTCACATTCTCACACACAGACACACTCATACACTCACACTCTCACACTCATACACTCACACTCACACACAGACACACTCATACACTCACACTCTCACACACTCATACACTCACACTCTCACACACAGACACACTCATACACTCACACTCTCACACACTCATACACTCACTCTCACACACACTTACACTCACACTCTCACACACTCATACACTCACTCTCACACACGACACACTTATACACTCACACTCTCACACACTCACACTTTCTCACACTCGCACACACACACACTCATACACTCACTCTTACACACAGACACACTCATACACTCACACACTCACACTTTCTCACACTCACACACAGACACGCTCATACTCACACACTCACACTTTCTCACACTCGCACACAGACACACTCATACACTCACACTCTCACACGCTCACACTTTCTCACACTCGCACACAGACACACTCATACACTCACACTCTCACACACTCATACACTCACTCTCACACACAGACACACTTATACACTCACATTCTCATACACTCACACTCACACACAGACACACTCATACACTCACACTCTCACACACTCATACACTCACTCTCACACACAGACACACTTATACACTCACACTCTCACACACTCATACACTCACACCCGCACACAGACACACTCATACACTCGCACTCTCATACTCTCTCTCACACACACACAGATACACAGACGCACTCTGACACACACTCTCAGTCTCCCACACACTCTCACACACACCGACCCACACACACACGCTCACACGCGTGCCCAGCAGTCAGTAGGAACCCGGTTGTTAGTCGATTGACGGTTCACTTTCCAGGGATAATAATCCCTTCAAAAAAAAAAGAAGAAAAAAGAATAATGTGGTCACTCAATCCACGACTGTTTGTGGGGACGTCGTTGGGTGCAATTGGCTGCCACGTTTCGCCCACAAAACACACAGTCACTACACTTTACAGTGTATCCTGTAAAGCGCTTTGAGACGTCCCAACGATGTGATAAGGCACCGGGTCAAATGCGAGGATTATTATTATTATTATTATTATAATAAATGCAAGTTGTTGTGGTTTAAAGGTCTCGGCAAATGGAAACCACCTTCTGGAGTATAATCACCGTTTGCCGTTCAACCGGGTGGACACTTTAGGCATCTCTGGAGACGTCACCATCAGCACCATCACCTTCACCAGCCCCGGGGTGAGAGACACAGCGACCGAACTTCCCTTCACACCCCTAGCCCCGCTCTAGATAGTCTCACACACTAAACCCCGTCCCCCCATCACCCCCACCCCTCGACAGCCTCCACTGGCTCCCTATCACACACACCAAACCCCGTCCCCCCATCACCCCTACCCTCGCCAGCCTCCACTGCCTCCCTATCACACACACTGAACCCCGTTCCCCCATCACCCCAGCCCTCGCCAGCCTCCACTGGCTCCCTATCACACACACCAAACCCCGTCCCCCCATCACCCCTACCCTCGCCAGCCTCCACTGGCTCTCTATGACACACACTAACCCCCGTACCCCCACCACCCCCAGCCCTCGCCAGGCTCCACTGGCTCCCTATCACATACACTGAACCCCGTCCCCCCATCACCCCCAGCCCTCGCCAGCCCCCACTGGCTCCCCATTACCGAACATATCAACTTCAAGATCCTATCACTTGTCTACAAATCCCTTCACTGGCACCTCCTGACCTCTCCCACCTGCTCACTTCACAACCCACTGCCTCCACTCGACTGCCTCTGGAACTTCACCCCACAGTCCCTCCCCTCGCCCCCTCCCTCGCCTCCTTCAAGGCTCGTCTCAAGACCCTCCTCTTCGACCAAGCGTGCCTTCGGTCACCCTCCAACCCCCCAACCGCCTGCCCTCCAACCCCTCCTGGTCCCAACCACCGGCTCGGGTCCCAATCCCTGACTGTCCAGCGCCTTGGGAAGTCCTCCTGACGTGAAAGGTTCCGTGTAAATGTCGCTGTGTGTGTAAATGTCATGTGTAGTTGATATTGTTTTTCTGTTCCCAGGTTCCAGCGTTTGCTCCACCGCCCTACACCCCAATGCCAGCTTACATGGTAACAGCTGCCAGCTCACAATTTCGCCCTCCGTTCCACCAGCGGTGGCCATGCATTCAGCTACTACGCCCCAAATCTCTCCGTCTTGCCCCCTCCCTACGCTTGACAGTTGGGGGGTTGGGGGGGGGGGGGGCTGAGACCGAGCAGAGGGAGAGAGAGTGCAAGGGGGCAAAGGGGGAAAGAGAAAGGAGACAAAAGGAGAAATCACCCCAGAAGTCATATCCCTTTTTGACGGTGACTCAAAATAATCTCTCGATTCGGCTTCCGCTGCCCTTTCGGGTCCTGCGTTCCAGATCCCAACGCCTCGTTGGGTGAAAACATTTCTCCGAACCTCCGCTCTGTTTCTTTTCCCAACGCTCTTAAATCGGTGCCCTCGGGTTACTGACCCACACGACGGTGGGAACAGTTTTTTCCCGGTTCAACCCCATCAAATCCTCTCGTGATCTCGAAAACCTCTATTAAATCCCCTCTTAACCTTCTCTGCTCCGGGGAGAATAATCCGAGTTTCGCCGCTGACCTCTCCTCATAACTGAGGTCCTTCAGTCCTGTGTGTATCTATGTTTCTGGGAAAATTTGCCGAAAGTTTCACGCTGATCTGATTCACCCGGGAATCGGACCCGAGGCATTTGGTGGTGTCCCAACGCGCGCACACACCCCGAGATAAGGACCAAGTGGGGTTCCGCACGGCCACTTGGAAGGACGCACGGTCGGCCCCAGGCACGGAGGACACACGGGAGACACGTACGGACACGCACGTAGACCGGCGGAACCTTTCCCCCGGAACACACGAGTTCCCGACGGCTGTGAAGAGGAAGAAGGAAAAAAAAAGGGGTTATTTTTTTAACAGTCGAAAAAGTAACTCACCGGATTGTAGATGGGCTGTTGCATTGCTGTCGGCTTTTGACGGTTGTCTCGAAAGGAGCTCCGCAAATGTAACTTGTGGTGGTCGTCGTTGTCTCGTCTCCTCTCTGCTTTGGGTGGAAAATTATCGATTTTATCCTTTGCCGAGGAGCTGAGCTGAACTGCACCGCTCCCTCTCCGCTTCCCTCTCTTTGTGGCTGCGCGGCTGCCAATGAGGTGTCAGTAAATGATTCTTTTCAAGGAAATGAAACTCAGTTAGTTTCACATTCTCGTACGCAGCCGAAAGCCATCGCTTTATTCCCCCGTCACCTCCCAGCACCGCCTCCATCTGTTTCCCGTTTAGGCGGACAATAAAGATAAGGAACATAAATAATCAGGAATGTAAATATAACAGCAGTGCCTTATCGCAACGTTCGAGACGCTTCGATGCTTTTCGCAGGACACTCTGCAAATGATTTATGTGTTTTATGGGCGGACTTTCGAACGGGTTGAACCTCTATTAAATGTCCTATTTAATTTTCTCTGCTCCGGGGAGAATAATCCGAGTTTCGCTGCTGACCTCTCCTCATAACTAAGGTCCCTCAATCCCCGTGTGGGGAAACCGGTGAGGAGAGCGAGCGTTTGGGAGGTCACGAATTGCAGTTCAATCCCCTTGACGGGGCATCCTGCGCATGACGTGACCAGGCGCTGCATTCAGCGCAAGGATTATGATCGTAGGGGTTAATGTAATATTAACCCTGGGGGGAGGGTGTGTGTGTGTAGGGGGTAATGTAATATAAATGCAAGCGCAAGGGTGTGTGTGTGTGGGGGGGGTGTGTGTGTGTGGGGGGGGGGGGTGGGGGGGAGGGGGGGTGTGGTGTGTGTGTGGGGGGGGGGAGGGAGATTGTGGGAGGGTGTGGGGGGGAGGGGGGGGTGGTGTGTGTGTGGGGGTGGGTGGGGTGTGGGGTGGGGGGTGGTGGGTGTGGGGGGTGGTGTGGGGGGGGGGAGGGTGTGTGTGGGGGGGGGGGTGTGGTGGGGGGGGAGGGTGTGTGTGTGTGTGGGGGGGGGTGGGGGGGGAGGAGGGTGTGTGTGGGGGGTGTGTGTGTGTGGGGGGGAGGGGGTGGTGTGTGTGGTGGGAGGTGTGGGGGGGGGGAGGGTGTGGTGTGTGTGGGGGGGGGGGGTGGGGGGAGGGAGGGGTGTGTGTGTGGGGGGGGGAGGGGAGGGTGTGTGTGTGGGGGGAGGGAGGTGTGTGTGGGTGTGTGTGTGAGGGGGGGGGTGTGGGGGGGAGGGGTGGTGGTGTGTGGGGGGAGGGGTTGTGTGTGTGGGGGGGGAGGGAGGTGTGTGTGGGGTGTGTGTGTGAGGGGGGGGGTGTGGGGGGGAGGGGTGGGTGTGTGGGGGGGGTGTGGGCTGGAGATGTCACGTGGGACCAGCTGGAGGCAACCAGTGTTGCCATCAAAGGGGCGCCACGTGACACCCGTTGTGTCACGTGTGTGTGTGTGTGTGGAGAGTCGGTGGCGCGTGACGTCAGCGCGTCGCCGCCGAGCCCGACGCGCTGACGTCGCGCGCCGCCACCTCCGCGCCCCGGAGCCCGGCGCGACGCGCTGACGTCGCGCGCCACCGCCGGGTGGTGGCGCGCGACGTCAGCGCGTCGCGCCGGGCTCGGGGCGCGTGACGTCAGCGCGCCCCGGCTCCGGGCTCCGGCGCGAGCCGTGGCGGTTGGGGGTTTGGCAGTTCGGGGCCGCGAGCGGGAGGGGGAGATATGCCCAAGAACTGCTCGTTCCCGCACTGCGGCCGCCAGCGGCGCCTCGGCCTCGCGGACCGTCAGGCCAGTTACCACAGGTCAGTGAGGGGGGGGGAGAGAGGGAGAGAGGAGGGGGGGGGGGGAGGGGGGAATAGAGAGGGAGGTGAGAGAGAGGGGGGGGGAGGGGAGGGGGAGAGAGGGAGGGGGGGGAGAGAGGGAGGGGGGAGGGGGAGAGGGAGGGGAGGGGGAGAGGGGGAGGGAGGTGAGGGAGGGGGGAGAGATGGGGGGAGAGGGGAGAGAGAGGGGAAGGGAGGGGAGGGGGAGAGGAGGGAGAGAGACAGAGAGGGGGATTGAGAGAGAAGGAGTGAGAGAAGAGACAGGAGAGGGAGTGAGAGGGAAAAAGGGAGTGAGAGAGAAGAAGAGGGAGTGAGAGAAGAAAAGAGACGGGAGGGGGGCAGTGAGGGAGAGAGTGATTAGGAAGGAGGAAACGATGGATAAAAGAGAGAGAGAGAGAGAGAGATACCTGGTGGATGGTTGGCCAGGACACCGAGAGAGAGAGAGAGAGAGAGAGAGCGATAACGCCGCGGGATCTTTATCGTCCACCTGAGCAGCACAGACGGGGACCTCACCGCCAATGCCTCACACCCCCACAGCGCTGCACCGGAGCAACGATCCACGAAACACACAGTCACTACCCTTTACAGCGTACCCCGTGAAGCGCTTTGAGGCGTCTCGCAGACGTGATAAGGCTCCGCGTCGAAATGCAAGGACTATTATTATTATTGTTATCATGAGACTTTGAACCGAGCTCCGCCTAACGGTTCAGGTGTGCGTTAAGTAACCCGTGGCACTTTTCTTGGGATCAGACGGGTGTCTGACTCGCGCGGAAACCCATCACCGCGTTTATGAGTCCCCAAACCCACCTACACATGGACATCCCAGCGATAGGTTGTTGGAATGGAAAGTGTGCGCTCTCTCTCTCTCTCGCTCTCTCTCCCTGGAGGGGTGCACTCAGCCTACCTAGTTCCGGAGAGTATTAGGTACTCTAACTGGGAGGGGGGGGGGTGCGGGGGGCAGAGCCCAGAGTGTGCGTTGGGGTAACTGCTAAAACCACATAGCTTGCCATTTGATACGGCTTCCTGGCAAACTTTGTGGCACTGTACTGTTTGAAAAGGGAGTCGTCCCAGTGTCCTGTTTAAAAATCGTACAGGTAAAATTTCTCTTTCAGTTGGTGGGATTTACATAGATTTACATACATTTACATTCAGTGCCGAACTAGGCCATTCGTCCCATCTTTGTTTGCAAAGCCAGCGTTTACAGCAGCAACAAGAACAACTTGCATTTCCACAGCACCCCTCACGCAGGGTAGCCAGGGGGGAGGGGACCATAGGCACAGGCGAAGAGGAAGGGTCTTCAGGCTATACCTTTCTTTGCATCGAGTACAGTATTGTAAAATTAATTTTGAAAACATTCACCTCGAAAAATCACACATTACAGTATGTCCTGTGAAATGCCTTGAGATGACCTCCTGTTGTGAAATCTATCAAATGGAAGTATTATTATGAATTATCTTCTTTTATTTCAGGTTTCCATCACAAGACAAAGAGAGATTCCAACAATGGCTCTCAAATATGAAGAGAAAGGATTGGGCTCCAACCCCATACCAGTACCTCTGCAGTGACCATTTCACCCCCGAAAGCTTTGAACGGAGGTGGGGGATACGATATTTGAAGCCAGATGCTGTTCCTACAATATTTTCTTTTCCAGATCAACCTACGGTATGCTGATTGCTCTTAGCCGGATCAGTAATCAGCGGACACAGATTTAAGATAATTGACAAAACTAAAGGGGAGACGAGGAGACATTTTTTTACCCAGAGGGTTGTTACGGTCTGGAACGCACTGCTTTAAAGGCTGGTGGAAACATATTCGATAATAGCTTTCAAAAGGGAATTGGATAGGAACTTGAAAAGGAAAAATGTGCAGGGCTATGGGGTAAGAGCAAGAGAATGGGACTAGTTGGGGTAAGAGCAGAGGATTGGGACGAGTTGGGGTAAGGGCGGGCAAGTGGAACTAGTTGATAGCTCTTTCAAAGAGCCTTCACAGGCACAATGGCCGAATGGCCTCCTTCTATGTTTTATGATTCTCAGTAGGCTACAGAATCTTTCAGTGAATTAAGGTTCCTGTGAATATATACAGTAAACCCCTGAAAGGAAAGAGATAAATTGTTAACTGCTACATAACTGCAGAAAAACACCCTGACCTTGTTTACCTGGAATGACCTTCTGATGAGAAATGGAGTGGTGGTTGTTATATTAAGATCATTGTGTGACAAAATAAAGTTAACCTGAAATTTAACGATACGGGTCATTGTGCAACACCTGGTTTAAAAAATTATTTTTTTTGTTCCTGCAGAAAACGAAAGCTGCCGCTAGAACGGATGGTTTAAAAAGAATGAAGAAGCCATCACGAAAGGTAAATATGTCCGAGACTCAGTGTGGTGATGAAAGAATAGAAACGGCTGCTCTGTCCACGACGACCATTCCTATCTTATCAACGGTGATGTCTGTATCGGGTGATGAACTTGCTGTACAAGTCATAGAAACCGAGTCAACTGTATCAACCCCCATGACTGAATTGGACACTGTGACGATATCTTCTCCCGATGCTTGTGACGAGACTCTGTCTGAAGCAATGGAAACATCCATTGAATCCTTACCAAATGCATCAGCGGTTCCTTTCGAGCCCTTCCACATAGATTCCTCAATCTCCTCGGACTCTGTATTGACTGAGCCACCTCTGTCGCCGTTTGACAACGAACCGTCTGTTGAAACTATCAAACTTTCACCCCCTTTATCAGCTTCTGTTGAAGCTTTACAACTCTCGACGCAGGAGGAACCCGAGGAGACGACTGCCATAACACTAACCCCCGTGGAGACTATAGTACCGGCTGAGACTGTACAGGTTTACGAAAGTCTGCCATCTTTTCAGTCGCTGACTTCCACTCCGGTGACCTCGCTGTTCGAAGCCACAACGGCAGTGCCGTGCTTTCACACACTACCCTCACCCGTTCTGCCTTTTCACGCTCCGCAGTTATTCGTGGAGACGCCAACGATAGTGGCTGGGGTTGAGAGTGTCCTGACATTGCCCTCCGCGATCACCACACCTATTATGTCGACTCTCTCAATCGAGTGCAGTGTGTCGTCCGCACCCCCCATCGCAGCCGTGGAGACGGTGGTGACCACACAGCCCGATGAGCTGCCCGACACGACAGAGGTTCAGGGCGAACATTCCTACCACAAGAATGATCTGACCACCGAGCAACTTGGAGAGATCATGCTTAGCCTTCAGAAAAAGGTCAAGATTCTCCACCAGCGAGAGAGGAGGAACTCGGCGCGCTTGAAGGTCATGGAGAACCTGGTGGAGCAACTGAAGAAAGAAAACATCCTCTCGGAAGAGAAACTTAAACTGCTGGAGATGGTAGGCACAACGACTCACGTTGCCTAGGTTTCCAGGAAAGCTTGACTTGGCATAATAATCGCGGGGGCAATTCGCTGTAAAGTGTAGTGGCTGTGCATATAATAATAACCAGAATAGACCCCGCCACTCTGAAGCACTCCCGGGACATTACCCCGCGTGAATGCAAGTTGTTATATCTCCATGGGCAAACTTGGCTGCCGATTTGCACACAGCAAACAGCCATGAATACATAAAAATAATAATAATGCTTGCATTGGATAGATTATCACGTTGTTGAGAGATCTAAAAGCGCTTCACAGAATAGACAGTAAAGTGCAGTGACTACGTATTTTGTGGGTCAAACTCGGCAGTAATTGCGCACAGCAGTGTCCCACAAAAAGTCGTGGTATAAATTTGAATGGACTAAGAAGCTGATCTAGCTAACATTGTTTTTGTTTGTGATTTGCAGACTTCCTTGCAGACAAAAAGTCAGGGGGCTGATCGCAGGCGTACTGTAACAATAATTTGCCATGAAGATGATGACACTATAATTTATGCACTGCCTGAATCGGGAGATGAAGAGAGTAGTGTTGTTATCGAAGAGGGACATATAAAACTTGAAAACTTTGACTAAAACTTCCACACTAGACATTATGAACTTGCTCCAATATTGGTCTTTGCATCAGAAGCCCACTAGTAATGTAGTATGTATCTATTGATATATTTTTCTATCGGTGTTGTTACAGAAATTTAATGCCATAAAGATTTAATACTGAATGTCTTGTTTTAACATGGTATAACTGATGACCTGACATTCTGAATCAGATTCTGATGGCCTACAGTGCATATATTTATTCAAGGAAAGTTGTATTTTAATAATAATAATCCTTACATCTGTAAGGATAGACCTTATCATGTTCTTGAGAGGAACTGTTCAGCTGGTTGTACATATCTGTCTGTAATAATTACTCCTCAATGGCACTTTGCTTATTTAATTCCAGAGAATGTTAAGCGCAAGATGGCAAGAGCTATTGGGGAGGCCTGAGTGTGCACTGGGGGTAACTGCTGGAGTCCTAACCAGCTAAAACTTGGCATTGAGAGCATTGCCAAGCTATTCAAAATAGAAGTGAGTTTACATACACAAAATAGGCTACACTCAAACATGTCTTCAGCAATCTCTCCAGATGGTCCAAAGCACTTCACAGGATTTACTGTAAAGTGGATTGACTATTTTGTGGGTGAAATTTGTACTGTTTGTCTACAATCGCCACAGCAATGACCCACAAAGTGCTTGGAGCCACTTTGATGTTACAGCTGCCCCCCAATCAAATTGAAGAAACATTTGTATTGCAAATGATGAGTTGCACTATTGTAATAATATGGGATCTTGTCAAGTGAATATTCAATCGATAATGGTCCTCAGAATGTGTCTTTCATTAAAATCTGGTGATATAAGAATATGAGCAACACAGTTGTTACTGATTATAGATTGTGTTAGTTTTGCTTCGCAAACTGAGAACCCTGTACAGAATTTCCAAAATGTAACAAAAAAAACGTCAATTGCCTTCAGTCTATTGGGTCCGTCCCCCGTCCCCCCCCCCTCCTCATTGTGATGGAATCCCTCATTAGACTCCCAGCGAGATAAGAGTCCTGTAGCGTAGTGGAGCTCTCGCCTGGTAAGCGAGAGGACCCGGGTTTGATTCTCAGGCCGGGCGAAACCTTTGGCGAGTTTCCTTGCTCAACGCACGCAAGGTACCGTTTACCTAACAGTATTAGTCTACGTTAGACGCCGGTGGGATGGGGTCGTCACTAGATACTGGGCTTGGATTCCCCATTGCACCCCCAAAGAATTAGGGGATCCTGGGATCTAATGGGGAGTCACCATTTGACCCCAACGTGATGGAGGCTCCATTAGACTCATCACCTTGTGGACCATGGGCTGGTGGGAGAGGAGTGTTGGCTGTGGTGACCACGTGGTAAGGGCGGGGGGGGGGGGGGCGAATCACGTGTTGCGAGTGGGCAGGAGGCCGACTGCGGTGACCACGTGGTGCGGGGCTGGTCGGGGGCCGGTCACGTGCTGCGGGCAGAGGGGTGGCGGCGGCGGCGGCTGTGGTGACCACGTGGTGCTGGCGGGTGGGCAGAGGCGGGGGGGGGGCGGTGGGCGAGTCACGTGTGGCGGGCGGTCAGGCGCTGGTCACGTGGTGCGCGCGGGCGGCAGGGCGGGCTGCGTGCTGTTTAGAGGCCTGGCGCCGCGGGCTCCAGTCACCACCGGGCGCCAACCGCCGCCGTTTGCCGCCCACCCGCGATTGATGAGAGGAAAAGCGGGAGAGGGACAACCCCAACAGCCTCCCAGCGACACGGAGAGGAGAGGGAAATGGGGGCGGCGTGAGGTACGGGGGATTTTACCTCAGTTTTACCTCTTCTCACAGCGATTTTACCTCAGTTTAACCTCATTTCACATCGATTTTACCTCAGCTTTTTTCTCCCCCCCTCATTTTCTTCCGTTTTGCCCCCCATTTTACCTCAGCTTTTGTTCCTCGGGCGGACGGGCGGCCCTGTTCGGCGCGCGGGCTGCTCCCAGGCCCCCCCTCTCCCTCTCCCTCTCTCTGCGGCGGTTGTTTTCTGGGAGACGATTGGGCCTTCTTTTTTTTCTTCCCCTTTTCTTTACCACCTTCCCTTTCTCTCTCTCTCTCTCTCTCTCCTTTCCTCCATTTCCCCCCCTCTCTCCCTTTCTTTCCCCCTCCTCCATTCCCCCCCCTCCTCCATTCCCCCCCTCTCCCTTTCTCCCCATTCCCTCTTTTTATCCCTCCATCCCCTCCCTTCTTCCCTCTTTCCCCCCCTCCCATCTCTCTCTCTCCGCTTCTCCATTCCCCCTTCTCTCTATCCCACCATTCCCTCTCTCTCTCTCTCTCTCTATCCCTCCTTATTCCTCTTCTCCCCCTCTTTCCCCCACTCCTTCCCTCCCTTTCTCGTCCATTCCATCTCTCTCTCTCTCTCTCCCCCTCCCTTCTTCCACCCTCTGTCCTTCCTCCCATTCCCTCCTCCTTTCACCCACTCGGGTAACTAACGGATCCTTCTCTCCCTCTGGTCTCGAGCGCCGCTTCCCAACAGTCACATGTCCCCCGCGCCACCGCCACCAACCGCTCTCTGTCTGCCCGAGTGCAGGGGTGGGGGTGGTGGGGGGGGGCTCTGAGTCTCAGTGGGGGTGGGGTGGGGGTTGTGTCTCTGGGTGGTAGTGATGGGGGTGAATGTGTGGGGTGGGGGGGGGTTGTGTCTTTAGGTGGTATTGATGGGGTGAATGTGTGTGGGGTGGGGGGGAGTTGTGTCTTTAGGTGGTAGTGGTGGGGGTTCTTTAGGTGGTAGTGATGGGGGTGAATGTGTGGGGTGGGGGGGGGTTGTGTCTCTGGGGGGTGAATGTGTGGGGGGGTTGTGTCTCTGGGTGGTAGTGGTGGGGGTGAATGTGTGGGGGGTGTGTCTCTGGGTGGTGGTGATAGGGGTGAATGTGTGGGGGGTGGGGGGTTGTGTCTCTGGGTGGTAGTGATGGGGTGAATGTGGGGGGGTGGGGGGGTTGTGTGTGTCTAGGTGGTAGTGGTGGGGGTGAATGTGTATGGGTTGGGGGGCGGTGTGTCTTTAGGTGGTAGTGATGGGGGTGTGTGTCTCTAGGTGGTGGTGATGGGAGTGAATTTGTGTGTGGGGGGGGGGGGTTGTGTCTCTAGGTGGTAGTGATGGGGATCAATGTGGGGGGGGGTTGTGTCTAAGTGGTGGTGATGGGGGTGAATGTGTGTGGGGTTTGGGGCGGTTGTGTCTAGGTGGTGGTGATGGGGGGGGTGTTGTGTCTCTAGGTGGTGGTGATGGGGGGTTTGGGGGGGGGGGGGTTGTGTCTCTAGGTGGTGGTGATGGGGGGTTTGGGGGGGGGGGGTTGTGTCTAGGTGGTGGTGATGGGGGGGTGTTGTGTCTCTAGGTGGCGGTGATGGGGGTTTGGGGGGGGTTGTGTCTAGGTGGTGGTGATGGGGGTTTGGGGGGGGTTGTGTCTAGGTGGTGGTGATGGGGGGTTTGGGGGGGGGGTTGTGTCTAGGTGGTGGTGATGGGGGGGTGTTGTGTCTCTAGGTGGTGGTGATGGGGGTGAATGTATGTGGGGTGGAGGGGGGCGTGTCTGTAGGTGGTAATGGTGGGAGTGAATGTGGGGGGTGGGGAGATTGTGTCTCTAGGTGGTGGTGATGTATGTAGGGGTATCTGTCTCTGAGTGTATATGGGTTGGGAGAGCTCTGGGTGGTGGTGATGGGGTGGAGGGTGTTTCTGTGTTCTCGGGAGAGCTGTGTGCGTCTCTGGGAGCTGTGTGTACGGGTGTCTATAGCTGAGTATGTTTGTGGGGAGCTTGTATATAGTTGTGTCTCTGGGTGGGAGGGGCGGTGCACATTGCTTGGGTGGGTGTGGGGGTCTCTGAGTGTGTGTGTGTGCAGTTGTGTCTGGTTGAGTGGGTGGGTGGGTGCCTGGATGGGTGTGCGTCAATGTCTGGGTGGGGGAAAAGTGGAAAGGGTGCATGTGGGTGTCGGGATGGGTGGATGTGGGGGTGCGAGTGTCTGTGGATGCATGTGGATAACTGTCTCTATGTGTGGGTTGCTGTGTTTGTGGGTGGCTGCACCTCTGGCGGGCCTATATATGTCTGTATTGTGTGGGTGGGGAGTATCTGTGTGTGTCTACCTATTTCAGTACCTGTTCACCCCCCCATCACCACCACCTGTTCAGCATGTTTATCCCGAAATACGACGCACCGGCAAGGAACGCAAAAGAAAAATTTCCTGCGCAAAACAAAAATTTGTGTGTGTAATGGGTCTTAAAGTTGATTAAACTGCACAATGGGCTGCCGTGTTTCGACCGCAAAACTCACTTTACAGTATATTCTGGTGAATTGCTTTGAGATGTCTCAACAAAACGTTAAGACGCTATATCGAATGCAAAGACTATTTGCTCGAAACAAAATGGCTAAGGGTCTGCGGAATCTTTAACGTCTATCTGAGCAGATAGGAACATCTGTGTAATATGCAACGTTTGATTTTTGGGAGAAATTAATGGTGTGTTTGTGTCGCTGTGTAAGAAAAAAAAAGATTGAAAGCAATAACTAAGACTTATTGTCGAAGCGCTCTGAGGCTCCGTCTGACGTGGAGAGCGCTATATAAATCCCAAGTTGTTGTTGTTGTTGATAGCCATGAGACTCCAATGCAGTGCTAGGGGGGGGCGTGTTGGCATTGTCAGTGGTACCATCCTTCAAATGAGTCGGTAAACCGAGGTCCTGTCTGCCTGTTCAGGGAGATGTTGAAGATCCCACGGCACTGTTCAAAAAGAGAAGGGAATATCTCTCCTGTTGGCCTGGCCAACAATCCCCGAAATAAAATTGATCTTTCACTCCATGGCTGTTTATGGGCATTGCTGTGCACAATTTTGCTGCTTCACAGTCAGTCCGTGTGATAAGGAGCTATACTACGCCGCGAAAATAAAGAATACTGTCCCTCTATCAATCCGCCTTGTCCCTTCCGTCCCCACCTTCATGTCGTGCCCGAAGACCTTCTTTACCTCCTCCTCCTTTCCCCCCCAGCTCGGCGTCGTGCTCTGCCACTGTCAAGCGCTCTGCGACGCCACCCTACGTGAGGGGAGCTGTGTAAATGCAAGTTTAATGTACCTTGCAAGGATTATTATTAATAATAATAATAATGTCTTTTGCAGGGAATGTTTTCCCGAGGCTACGTGCGCTTTCCCACCTGAGGATGAGGGGCTTTCAAAGCCCCAGGGGTGGTGGCTGAGCCCGAGTTAACAGCCCCATTCCTGCAGCGTTAAACCCTGGTGGCCGTGTGCTGAGATGCCCCTCGGCGGATGGGGGAAGTGGGAGCTGCTGGCTTAGGACGGGACCCTGGAGTCTCCCCTCTCCCGGCCAGTATGGAGGAAGAGTCGGCTGAAGGCAGCGGTGGTGCAGGTCGCAGGGTGGGAGGCGATGGCATGTTCTCCCCTCCGTCAAGCCTCAAGTCTGGGGGGATCAAAGTGTCCCTGAAGAAGTGGAGCATATGGGACAAGTTCTATAATTTGGGCACCGAAATGAGAATGTCCAAGAGGGGCAGGTTCATGTTCCCGTACTGTGAATATTCTGTTTCGGGGCTGGATCCCGATCGAAACTACATCATGGCCATGGATATCAGTCCAGTGGACACTTTCCGCTACAGATACAATGGGTGCAAGTGGCAGATCAACGGCAAAGCCACGGCGCATGTGATCGGCAGGCTTTACTTCCATCCCAACGGCAGCGTCTGCGGCAGGGAGTGGATGGCCAAGCCGATGTCCTTTGCCAAACTGAGGCTCACGAACTGCCCTTCTGCGGAGGAAGGTCATGCAATCCTCCACTCAATGCATCGTTACGTCCCCCAGTTGCACATCATCGTCGCCGACGGGATTGTCGACCAACAAGACTTGAACGATCGCAGGGTTTACGCGTTTATCTTTCAACAGACGGAGTTCTTTGCCGTGACCAAGTATGAGAATAAATTTATCAGGCAGCTGAAACACTTCTATAATCCATACGGGACCGCACTGCGGGATGTGAAGGCGTGCAAACAGGTAAACAATATAAACATATCTTGAATATATATTGCCTTGAGCAAATTGTGGAGTCCTGTAACATAGTGAGAACACCTGGATTCAATTTTTGGGCGGGTCAGAGCGAAACCTTAAGCAAGTTTCTTTCCACCACCCACACGCCTCTGGTTACCTAACAGTAAGTAGGAACTTGGTTGTTAGTCAATTGGTGAATCGCTTTTTGGCGTAATAATATCTTAGAAAAAATAATTTGGTCACTCAATCCACAACTGTTTGTGGGACACTGCTGTGCGCTTTTCACCCGCAAAGTATCCAGTCACTCCGCTTTACAGAATATGCTGTGAAGCGCTTTGAGACTCTCGAAAACGTGACAAGATCAAATTCAATGATTATTGTTAAACCAGTCATTCATGCCATGGCTGTTTTGGGATATGTAAATTGACTATTGGGTCTGCTGACAAATACACTTAGCAGTCGTTTGGTGTGAAGGCTTTGCTGTATCAAACGCAAAGCTTTTTACGGTGTTAAGCTTCTTTGCACTTTTTCCACAGGGCGGTGTAACCAACCGAAGGGCTAGAAAACAAAATGACAAAATCAACCCTTTCCGAGACTGTGAAGCCAAAATCCAAGATTCCTTGAAACGTGAAGAGTCAATGAAGGGATTGAAGGACATTGTTCCTCTAGAAGATTGTTCTGCCAAAATAGAGGATGCTATAAACAATCAAGGGCCTAGGAAAACGTTCCCAAAAATCATGCCGTTCGAAAACGCAGTCAATGTAACGCAGACGTTTAGTTTCGAAGGTCAGTGACCAACCTCGAGTCTGCCAATTTGCGTTTGCCAGAGTTTCCCTGTGTGCGGGCCTTTTATCTGCCTGAAAAGCTATCTCGTGCCTGTTTCAACCTGCCTCTGTCTTCGCTCTCTCTCTCTCTCTACTTTCTCTCATCTCCACCCCCGCTTGTTGCCATCCAGCCCCCATCCCTATGCAATGCTCAGGTGCTATCCTGCATGAAGGACACAAGTTGTGTTATGTCAACATCATGAGCAGTTTGAGACGTCCTGACTTGAAAGGGTTGTATAAATTTGAGTTGGTTGAATGTTGGGGAGTGAACTTTATTTATTTAAAACAAACTTGCACAGCAAATTTGCTTGCGTTTGATAGTGGAGGGACATTTTGTATAAGGAACAGAGACAGAAGGTAAATAATTGGCATTGTGGAGTCCTGTAGTCCTGAGTCAGTGGTTAGAGCACTTGCCTTGCAAGCGAAAGGAACCCAGTTGTTAGATGATTGGCGGATCGATTTCTGGGGTAATAATCCCTTTTTTTTAAAAAAAAGTTGTTACTCAATGTTTGTGGGACGCTGCTGTGTGCAATTGGCTGCCGCGTTTCGCCCATAAAATATACAGTCAATTCACTTTACTGTGAAGCGATTTGAGACGTCTCAACGACATGATGAGGTGTTATATCAAAGGATTGTTATAATTACATGGACTCTCGATAGAACCACAAACAATTACAATACAATTTACATTTATGCAGCGCCTTTCCTGTCTGGAGGACATTTCAGAGCACAATAAATGGGCTTTTTTGGCCCATTTTTCTCGTGGCAATGCTGTCTACAGTCAAACGCTGGCACGAAAATATTACACTGAAACAATCGTGTAGGCGGCTGCTCACACTTTCACTACATAGTTCTCAAAACAGGTTCCAGAGACGCTACGCCAGAAATTCTAAAGCTTGAACAGAAACTGCTGGATGATCTGAAATGGAGCAGGAGGCGTGAAATTCTCCACCCAGCACTGCAGAAATGTTGGTGCCTTCTTCCTTTCTGTGTTTGAATTCTGATTCTTTTGTTAAACTTGCTTCCCTGTCCACTTGGCTTCTTCCCCCTTTGAGCACTCTTGTCTTCTTTCCAACCTCAAAGTCTTGTTAAAACAATTTTTTTTTAATGATGAGTTTTGATCGTCAATTGGGAGATACTATTTCCACTGGTCGGTGAGTCTTTAACTACTGGGTTTTAATATTGTTAGCAATGAGCTTTTAGGAAATAAATATCTGGGGGTACAGTATGTAGTTTGGGAGATGACATGGTGGAAGGCGGACTGGATGGACTTTGGTCTTTGGCCTACAACAGCTGATGGGTGGGCCGGGCGGGGGACATGGAACAGGCTGGAGCCGGCTGAGCGGAGGGAGCGGACAGGTCTACATGGAGTTAGCAGATCACAGAGGTATGAAGGATTAAGGACGTGGAGGGCTTTGCAGGCGAGGACGAGGACTTTGAACTATATGCTTTGGGGGGGAAACCAGTGGGTGGGGATGATAGGGTCAAGGAGCCTGATGCGGGTGACAATGTGGCCTTGAATGTTTTTAAGAGTAGAGACACTCCTTCATGAGTGGAAATGAACCTTCTTGTCTCCTCTCTGTAGCTGGGATAAAGCTAGATGAGCTGAAGCCTGATGAATGGCTGAGCCTGAAGTATTCGGAAATGCTTCCCGGGGGGCAAGATCCCCAATCGTTACAAAGCGAGTCCCATGGAATTCGAGGTAAGGAATTTTTTTGCCCTGAGTTGTTATTGGGACATAGAACACCATAGAGTAGGGTGGTTAGAGACTTGAGTCCATTGTAACTTTCAACAGGGAAGTAGACAGGCATAAGAACATAAGAATTTGCGAGGCAAAAGAAGACCAAGTTCCATTCAGCTCACCTTCAACCATCCATGCAGTCACACGAACATGGCATGATCCAAATTATATACTGTATCCTGAGATTATTTCCTAACAAAAACCTTATCTCATTTGCTTTTGAAAGAATCAACACTTTCTGCTTCTCTCACTCTCTCTTACCGCGCCCCCCCCCACCACCGGTGTCGTGGCAACAATCCCCCGCCTCAAATAAAATTGGTCGCTCACTCCACTCACAAGCATCTTGTTTTGTTACAGACACTGGGATTCCGTTTGTCTCCAGGACGGGGAAAACCAACGATCTGACCAAGATTAAGGGCTGGAAGAACAAGTTTAATCTGCAGTCGGGATCCTCGGACGACAAGACCAGCCCACCACCTGCGAGTAAGCCAGAGCGTTTTACTGCCCACTTGTGGACACGGGTTAGGCGAGTTGCTGGCATGCAGTCAAATGCGATGATTATTATTTTTAAATTCGTATTAATAAAAGCCCTTTGTAAATCTTTGTCGCGTACTGTTTCCTCATTAAATGTGCATGGAATTAAAAGCATGTTTTGAATGTGTTTTGTGAGTGCATTAGAATCCTTGATCTTCGCACGGCTGACCCGGACTTGTGTGTGTCTTTACCCCCCCCCCCCACCCCCACCGCACTCCAGTCTTCTTCCCCCACCCTTTATAACCAAACTATATACTCCCAAAAAAGGAGGCCATTCAGCCCTGCGAGCCTGTTCCGCCACTCTATCGGATCCTGGCTGATCTGTACCTCAACTCTACTAAATATACAGTCAATTTGCTTTACAGTGTATCCTATGGAGCATTTTGAGACGTCTCAACGGCGTGATAAGTCACTATCAAATGAAAGTATTATTATTGTTTACCCTGCCATCTCTGCCTTAAACTAACCTCAAAGCCTAAGTGCTGGCGTCCATCTCCTCCTCACTCGCTCTTGCTTGCTAGGTGCCTGAAGCAGTCCTCATAAAGTGTTCCGAGGCGCTTACCCTCTGAAGGGCACAGTGTAAATGCTTTGAATAGCCACAGCCCTGAATCTGTGCTGGTGCTCGATCCAGATTTCTCAAACCCTCTGGGACGCAGCCCTGCATGAGGAGCGCTGTATAAATTGTTTGTCGTTTTCCCCCCTACTTGGGCCCATTCCACCCTGTACAAGGCACTATTTGAGAAGAGAGTTTGTCCTCCCGAACAATCCCACGGATGAAATCGGTCGCTCGCTCCACGGCTGTGTGACGCTGCCGTGCGCAATTGGCTGCCGCGTTTCGCCCGCAAAAAATACCCGAGTCGCTTCACTTCGCAGTGTATCTCGCGAAGCTCCTTGAGACGCCTCGACGACCTGAAAAGGCGCTGTGTCAAATGCAAGGATTATCTCATTATTTTACATCTTTATGGGGGTTTGGTTGAAATATTTATCCGGTTTACTCTTCGAATCAATTTCAATAGTGTTGTGCTTTTTTTTTTCCTGTAAGCAGCGAATGTAATCAGCTGTCAATCCTTCCTCCCATCAGGTGCGAGTTGCCCTGCGGCCATTAAGAACCGTTCGGCATTCGTCAGTGACTTGCTGGATGAATATCTGGAAAAAGAAGGGAAGATCATTGAGCAGCAAGGTCTGCTGCACGAGTATGAGAACTCTGAGATCGAACCGCCGACTCTTAAACCGGAAGGCCAGAGACATGTTACCTTTTCCCCTGAAGCGACTAAACCGAGGAGCAGGAAAGCCTTGAACGTGGAAATGTCTCCCGTGCTGGAGAAACACTTCAGGGTTACAAACAAAGGGATCTTTATCAGAGACATCAGGGGGGCCGGAACGGGCAAGAAGGTCAGGCGACCGGGCCCAAAGAGGGGCAACTCGGTCGGGAGAAGGTCCAAAACATCCCGTCAGCCTGGCGAGGCGTTGGGAAAGAGTGAGGAGGCCAAGCTGGGCAATGCACATACCACCTCCTCCCCCAAGAAGGTGAGGCTGCAGATAGCACCCATTTAATTATAATAGTCCTTGCATTTGATATAGTGCCTTATCGCGTCGTTGAGACGTCTCAAAGCGCTTCAAAGGATATACTGTGAAGCGTAGTGACTGTATTTCGTGGACGAAACGCGGCAAGACAATTGCGCACAGCAGCGTCCCATAAACGGTCGTGTTTTTTTGAGAGAGATTATTACTCCTGGAAAGCGATCCGCCAATCGACTGGGTTCCTGATCACTGCTAGGGAATCGGGGGCTTGTGTGAAGAAAGGAAACTAAGGTTTTACCCCTCCCGGGAATCAAAACCACGGCCTCTGAAGAGGTGATGCCCTAACCACTAGGCTACAGGTCTCCACTATGTTCTGCGAAGCGCCTCAATGACTTGGTAAGGCACTATATCAAATGCAGGAATTATTATTATTACTTATTACAGAGAGAACGAAGAGGAGCGAGAGGGACAGATTAATTACTCTATATTTTGTGGATGAAATTATGAAATAAGTCAGGAACAATGGGAGAACGGTTCCACGTTTACTTTGATGTCCCGGTGTGTACAGTCTCGTTTTAACTCTTCTCTCTCTCTCTCTCTCTCTCTCTCTTCGCAGCTCTCCTCGTCACCGAGCCTTAAGATAATCCAGGCAGAGCCAGGACCCAGAGGTGGCAAAGGACCTGTTATTCCCGGAAATCAAACGGCAGCTACGTTCAATTCAGGTAAAAACGGGGCAGGGAGGAGAATGAGGTCAGAGCAGAAATGTTACGTGGAGTGGTTAGAGCACTCGCCTCGCAAGCGAGAGGACCCGGGTTCAATGCCCGGGCGGGTCAGGACCAGACGTAGGCAAGTTTTCTTACCCCACGCACGCGCCTCTGGCTTACCGAGTGGTAAGTAGGAACTCGGTTGTTAGTTGACTAGCGGATCGCTTTCTGGGGGTAATAATCCCCCCGAAAATGTGGTCACTCAATCCACGACTGTTTGTGGGACGTTGCTGTGCGCAATTGGCTGCCGCGTTTTGTCCACAAATATACAGTCAATTCACTTTACAGTGTGTTCTGTGAAGCGCTTTGGGACGTCCTCCCAACGTGAAAAGCGCTCTATCAAATGCGAGGATTAGTATTATCCTGGGAGGGACTTTGGGACGTCCCAACAACGTGATGATGTCTTGATCTGTGCTACTTGTTCGTTCGTCCCCATTTTTCCCCTATGCGTGTGTGTGTGTGCGCGTGTGCGTGTGGAGTAAGGAAACTTGCCTGAGGTTTCATCCTCGCCTTTCTCGGCCGGGAGTTGAACCCGGGTCCTCTGGCTCTAACCCCCGAGCTACAGGACCCAACATAAAACCTTCTCCCTTTTTCTTCCGTTCCCCCGGGCTTCAGGCTACACGAGCGCCGAGGAGGAAGAACCTCAAACGCTGAACCGCAGCGGTGGGGATTCGGAAGCCCAGACCCCGGTCGAGGCCTCCTCCCGGCTCCAGTTACCCCCCGCGACGAACCGCTCGGCCGGCTCCAAGACCGTGGAGATCGTGTCCTACTGCTCCTGGAGCCAGAGCCGGGTGAGGATCATCAAACTGATCGCCGAACACACCATGGCCAACCGGCTGCCCTGCACCCAGCAGCTGGGCTGTTATAGCGTGCGGCTGGAGAGGGGGGAGGTTCTGGGGTCCGGCCCCACCCTGGCCCGCGAGGCCCCACCCAGGAGAGTGGTCCACGCCAGAGTCACCATCAGGAACGCGGAGAGCGTGTTGGAGAAGCCCACGGTCCAGACTATGGTGATCGAGGCCATGGTCGGCACCTCTGCCTTCAGGACAAAACTTAACCACTTGATATCAAAGGTGAGGCCTCGTCTTTCAATCCACACACCCCCACCTCTCTCTCTCCCCATCCCCTCCCTCTCTCTGTCTCTCCCCTCCTCTCTCCCTCCCTCTCTCCCCCTCTCTTTCTCTCCCTCCCTTCCCCCCTCTCTCTCCCTCCCCCTCCCTCTACATTTTGTGTTTTTATTATAATAATAACAATCATTCCATTTGACCCAGCGCCTTATCACGTCTTTGAGACGTCTCATAAACGCCTCACAGCACGCACTGTAAAGTGTAGTGACCGTGTATTTCTGATGGCTTCCCTCTTTCTGGGCCACGCCTCAGGTTTCTAAGAACAGCTCGGAGCAGGTTAACATGGAGCCGATCCGTTCACCCATTCAAGTCGTCATGAATTCAGAGAAAGCTGCTCCTTCTTCAGTCTACTCTCCCAGCGAAACCAGTTGTCCCACTAACCAGTTAAGCAGACTGATCGGTAAGAAGAACACAAACTGTGGAATCTCTGCGTGTTCAAGCGCTAATTTGCTTAAAATTTACAATAGCCATAAGCTTAAAATGTCATGTGTGTATATATATATATCAGTGGGGGGGGGATATAAATTACAGTGGGATATATAAATATAATAGTCGTTACTTTTGATGCAGTGCCTTATCACATCTTCGAGACGTTCCAAAGCGCTTCACGGAATATACTCATATATATACTTAATATACTTACTTCGCAAACGCGATGTCACAAACAGTCATGAATTGCGTGACCCAATTAGTATTATTCTTAATCTACTCCTAATATATTATCATACTGTAAAGTAGAGCAACAAAGCGCTGCGGAGCGGGGTGACCATATATTTTATGGGCGAAATGCTGCAGCCGATTTGCGCTCAGCGACATCCCCACGCAAACGTTTTTCAGTCTTGTCTTGTCTACAGCACAGGATAGAGACAAGGTGCTTCCCACGACTCCGACCCAGCGACGAGAGCTTCCTTTACTGGTCCACACGACGGGAAGAGAAACGCCCAAGATTCCTCCCTCCTGCATTAGATCGACTGCGGCCGCCACATTCCAGAGAATCGGCACCTCCTGCGCCTTAGTAAACAGCGATATCATTCCAAGCTCCGCGATTCCCGTTTCATCTCAAAGCCAAGCTGACACCTCTTCCACTCCTTCTGCTCCTAATCTGCTCGGTGACTCCATTTCACCCGGGTTGCTTACAGGTACCTTCTCTTCTCTCACCCCCCCTTTTTCTCTCTGTCTCTCACAAAGCACACAGTCAACAACAACTTGCTGTGTCAATCACACAGTCAAACACAGCCCCCCCCTCACTCAGGGTAGTATCCCAGAGAGCTTGACACTGGCAGAGCACGACACCGAGCCGCCGGGGGGGGGGGAGAGGGAAGGGAAGGCACGACCTGAAGGTAATAGTAATAATCCTTGCATTTGATATAGAGCCTTATCATGCCCGAGACGTCTCAAAGCGCTTCACTGTAAAATTTTGTTGGCATAAAGATGGGCAAAGCGGAGGGATAGAAGGAGAGAGCGACAGAGTTTTGGGACGCAGTCATGAAAGTGATGACTGATGGTGGAATAGGGGACGAGGGACAAGTAGGAGGCTGGACTGAGCCAGTCGAGCGGAGGCAGTGTGTAGTGGATGGGGACGGAATGGAGTGGGATATTTTAAGAAGCTATGGTTTTATCTGTATGTCTGTGTGGGTAATAATTACTTCAAAAAAAATAATAATAATAATAAATTGGTCACTTCAGTCCACGACTGTTTGTGGGCCACTGCTATGCGCAATTGGCTGTCGTGTTTAGCCCACAAAATATACAGTCAATTCACTTTACAGTGTATCCAAAAGCGCTTTGAGACGTCTCAAAGACATGATAAGACGCTGCACAAATGCAAAGATTATTATATATATGTTATCTCTCTCTGTCAGGGTCAGCTGAAGTGCTGGATCGGGATGGACGTCGCTTCTGTGTGGCCATCCCAAAGGCCTTGAAGCTACAGCCGGGAGACAACTTGCTGCTGCAGCCCTACACAGCTTCTGATGGACGCCAACTGTACAAGCATTCCAGCGGCAAGTTATTCCAGTTAGTGTGCGCAAAGGCCCCGGAACAGACAGAACAAGCCGGTGGTCCGGACCACATTCCAGGTACGCGTGTTGTCCCGAGTATTGTCCAAATAGTGTACAGTCAATTTCACTTTACAGTGTGGAGTCGTGGACTTCCGTAGCTCAGTGGCTAGTGTGCTCGCCTCGCAAGCGAGAGGAACCGCTCTGTAAGTAGGAACCCGCTTGTTAGTCAATTGGTGATTGTTTTCCGGGGGTAATAAGCCCAACAATAAAAAATAATAATAAATTGGTCACTTAATCCACGACTGTCTGTGGGACACTGCTGTGTGCAATTAGCTGGCGGGTTTTTGCCCACAAAATATACGGCCACTACACTTCACAGTGTATCCTGTGAAGCGCTTTGAGACGTCTCGAAGACGCGATAAGGTGCTGGGTCAAATGCGAGTATTGTTTTTATTCTGTGAGGTTTACCGTGCTGTTGTTGTGCTTGTAGAAACGTCGCCACTGGTCGATGCCCACACGCCCACCATCTCTGCTTCGACGAATTGTGCGAATGGGCTTCATGCTGCCACGGGTGCTAAAACCTTCCATACGTCCCACTCTTTCCCCGACGGTGGTTCCTCCGAACCGCCGGGCGTTGCAGAGCCCCTGTATAAAATCGTCACGTTAAATCCCAAACCGTACCCGAGCCCGAGCAGCCTTCCCGCTTGGAAATCTCCGGACGCGACTCCCAACTCCCTCGACGGGTTTCCCCACATCACCTCCTCGCTGCAGGCCACCCGGCTTCCCAACGGGGCGGGCGAAAGCGTTCCGTTAGCCGAGCAGCGGGCAAATCAGCAGAGCAGACAGCCCGGGACGCAGGCCCAGGTCTCCAGGTTCCCGGGGCTGCTCAAATCCGGTCAAAGCCTCGGGAATTGGAACCAAGAATCCGAGATGGAGGGCTCGCTGGTGGCAGCCATGGCTGAGGAGCGGGGCGGAAGGACAGAGACTCGCGTTGAACGCGACCCCAGTCCCAACAATGAGATGATCGCTGTCAAGAAGGACATCTCAGAGATCAGTGCCCACCGGCAACTTGACCCCCACGGCCCAGAAATCTGCACCGTCACCATCAAGGAGGAGCCTGTGGAGGAGGAGGAAGATGCCTTCGCCTTTGGGGGCTCGGATTTCCGCACCCGTTCGGGTTTTAACTTCAATGTGAGACCGGGAGCGCCGAAGCCCTGGATGTCTTGGTGAGTGACAAGCGGCAACTGGATTCGTTCGTCCACAAAGCACACAAGTCATTACACTTTACAGCGTATCCTGCCGTGCAGCACTTTGGCGTAGCAACGATGTAATAAGGCGCTGTGTCAAATCCAATGATTATTATTAACTTCTAGTTAGACACCAGGGCACTGCTGATGGCAGCCCAGCCCGGCCTGGCTCATCGGCAGGACCTGGAAGGGCCGACCAGAATCCTCTCCCTCAGCTCCTGTTAACCCCGCAGCCAAAGCAACAACTAACTAACTAACTAACTAACTAACTAACTAACTAACTAACTAACTAACTAACTAACTAACGGGGAGGGTGGTCCTAGCTGGACAAGCAGAGGGAAAGCATGGCCAGATAGCGCTCTCAATGGCCGAGCTGTGTGTGGGTTTAGCCGGTTAGACTCCAGCAGTTACCCCAACGCACACTCTGGGCTCCCCCCAAGATTTGGGATTAGGTCAGCAGGACGTGACCCCAAATAAATCTATCTGGGATTTACATGTGTAGGTGGGATGCTTTGAATTCTCAGTTTGGTTTGAAGACTCTTATTGCATGGTAATGGGTGTGTCAGACACCCAGATAACGCCCCCCCCACCCCAAAAAAAAACTGTGAAACAAACGCTCTGGGACGCTACCGTGCGTGAGGGATGCTGTGTAAAAGTCGTTGTTGATGGAAGAATGCTTTGGTTGGAGGATACGGTGATGAGTGTGTGTCTTTTCGCTTGTCAGACCCATTCAGAAAATAACAGCGGCGACGGGTTTGGAAACCTGATAAAGGGGATTGCGAGAGATTCAAGAAATGAACCCCAACTTGGTCTTTCGCCCAGGTCAGTAACCAGCGGTAACGCAATCAGCGAGAGAGAGAGAGAGAGAGATTCCAGACTTGCTCTATTTACTTAACTCTTAAATGCCGCCTTAACTTTGAAGTTTTCTACAGCGTAATCCTTACAGCGGAGTTCTGTAGCGTAGTGGTTAGCACGTTGGCCTCGAGGACCCGGGTTCAATCCCCAGGCAGGTCATGTCAGCCCCGAAACCTTATGCAAGTTTCCTTACTCCACACAGACACACCCACGCCTCTGTTTACCAGCTCTTACCCCAACTAGTCCCACTCCCCCCGCTCTTACCCCGTTGTTAGTTGATTGGTGGATCGCTTTCCGGGTGTAATAATCCCTTCAAAAAAATAATAATAATACTTTGGTCACTCAATTCATGAATGATTGTGGAACACTGCTGTGCGTAATTTACAGTTGTACAGCGCCTTTCATGTTGGGAGGATGTCCTGAGGCTCTGGACAATCAGGGATTTGGACCTGAGTTGGGATCAGGAGGGGTGGAGGGCAGGGAGAGTGGGGGTTTGAGGGTGACCGAAGGTGCGGTCAGTCCGAAGAGGAGGGCCATGGAGGGAGCGAGGCGGAGGGACTGTGGGATGGAGTTCCAAAGGGTGGGGGCAAAGAGACTGAAGGCCCGACCCCTGATGGTGGCAGGCGGTGGACATGCAGCGCGCTGGAGCCCACTGAGCGGAGGGAGCGATCAGGTCTATATGGAAAAGCGCTGTATTAAATGCAAGAATTATTATTATTATTATTACTGTAGAAATTGGTTATGTTGGATTTAATAACTATGTTTTTGCTTCCCAGGGAAAGCTTTTATGGGTCACAAGGTCTCAAGCTACCATCTAAAAGGAAGGTAAGCGTGAGCAGTGCTTTGTGTTAGCTCTGTAGTATGTTAACGTTCCAGGGCACCTCAGGGCTGCATAATTACAGTGTCTTCATAGAATCATAGAACTTTGAAGCACAGAAGGAGGCCATTCAGCCCATCGTGCCTGTGCTGGCTCTTTGAAAGAGCCACCAACTAGTCCCACTCCCCTCGCTCTTACCCCAACTAGTCCCACTCCCCCCGCTCTTACCCCATAGCCCTGCACACTTTTCCTTTTCAAGTCCCTATCTAATTCGCTTTTGATAAGGCAGGGAGAAACCTTGGGCAAGTTTCCTTACTCCACACAGAGCCTAATAATAATCCCTCCAAAACCAAAAACAATAATAAAATTGGTCATTTTTAATCTACGACTGTTTGTGGGACATTGCTGTGCGCAATTGGCTGCTGCGTTCGCCCACAAATATACAGTCAATTCACTTTACAGTGTGTTCTTTGAAGCGCTTTGGGACGTCCTCCCGACGTGAAAAGCGCTATATCAAATGCAAGGATTATTATTATTATTATTATTATTATTATTATATCATATGTAAACATTATTATTGTTGTTAGTGTAACATTTCCTCTTAATTTAACCCTTGGAGCCCTGCTACCATTTTTCTCTCTCTCTCTCATTACTACCAAGGTGCGAGGGGTGAGTGAGCAAGGCAGAGCCAGGAAGAACGCGATGTTACACAACCTGCGAGAGCGGGAATCCCGGCGGATGATGGAGCACCGCTTTAAAACTCTGAAGAAAAAGCTCTTCGATGAGCAGCAAACCGCTTCCAAGGGCGCCATTCTGGATGAGGTTTGTCACAATACGAGAGACTCCCAGAATTTCAGCTTCAGTTCCACACCACCCACCTTGGTTTACCCACCCATCCATCCAAAGGAATAAGGAAAAAGAGGTTAACTAACGACAAAAGAGTCCTGTAGCGTAGTGGTTAGAGCAGTCACCTTGCAAGCGAGAGGACCCGGGTTCGATTCCCAGGCGGGGCAGGATGAAACCCTAGGCAAGTTTCCTAGTTCCACATACACACACCTCTGTTTACCTAGCCTCTGTAGGAACTCACTTGTTAGTCGATTTTCCGGGGATAATAATCCCTTTTTTTAAAAAAAATTAATCATATACACTCAATACACGACTGTTTGTGGGACACTGCTGTGCGCAAATTGGCTGCTGCATTTCACCCACAAGGCACTATATTAAATGCAAGGATTATTATTATAAAGAGCATATTTTTATCATTGCAATAGCCACTTGTTTCAGTGATGACTTACCTTACCCCCGCAGGCCATCGACACCATCAGTAACTTGGATAAAGAGTCCAAACAACTGCTTCTGGAGAAGGAAGAGCTGTTGGGAAAACAAAAGGTCTTGTTGGAGAAGATTTCACTGCTATCCGGTAAGATGCTGTATCAACAACAGTTTACACAGTGCCCCTCACACGGGGCAGAGTCTCGGAGCGCTTAACAGTGGCGGAGCTTGACCCCCGAGCCGGAGGGAGGAGGTGACAGTAAGCACGAGTCGAAGAGGAAGGTCTTCAGTCGTGATCTAAAACAGTGGAAGGAGGGGGCAAGGCGGAGGGATTGAGGGAGAGAGTGCAATTGAGGTCCTGTCTGCCCTTTCAGTCGGACATTAAAAAGATCTCCCGCGTCGCTATTCAAAAAGAGAAGGGAGCTTCTCTCTCCCTCCCAGTGTCCAGACCAACAATCCGCCAAATAAAATCGTTCAATCACTCCACGACTGTGTGCGGGACAATGCTGCACGCAATTGCGTATCCTGTGAGGTGCTTTAAGACATCTCAACCACATGATAAAGCGCTGTATCAAATGCAAAGATTATTACTATTGTTGTTGTTATAATATGTGGGTGTGTGGCTTTCCTCCCTCCCTCCCAGTGGAAGTAGGATCTACTGTAACCGGAAACGGGATAGAGGCAGGCGAGATAATTGAAGACGCTCTCTCGAACGGGAGAGACTTTCCTGGCCAGAAATCGCCTGAAATGAGATGGTTTCCGGAGGAGCCCGCAGGCGACCACAGGACGGAGTTCGGAGGCGAGGGCTGGTGTGGGGAGATCCAGAGTTTAGTTTGGGTGAGTACAGAGTCCAGAGTACAGACCACTCGCCTCGCAGTCGAATGGACCCGGGTTCAATTCCTGGGTGGGTCAGGTTAGGGTGGAACCTTAGGCAAGTTTCCTTACTCCACACACAGACACACATACACACACACACACACATATGAGTGCACGCCTCTGTTTGCCTAGCGGAAAGTTAGTCTATTGGCGGATTCCTTTCCCGGGGTAATAATAATCCCTCCATACAAATAATAATAAAAATAATGCGGTCACTCAATTCACGACGGGTTGGGGGGACGCCGCTGTGTGCAAATTGGCTGCCGTGTTTCCCCCCACAAAGTACACAGTCACTTCACGGTGGGTCCTGTGAAGCGCTTTGAGACATCTCCCAAGACGTGATAATACGCTGAATCGAATGTGACTATGATTATTATTAATAGGAGCAGATGTGAAGCGTGAGGACCAAGGACACAAACCTGACGACATAGTCATGATTAAGATTGAAGATGACTTTGGGGAGAAAGAGGACAGCGGACTGGATCGTAACGAGGGCCCTAAGGGCTTTTTGGTGAAACGCAGGGAGGAGCTCAGTGAAGAGGAAGGTTGTGGTGGATTCACTCCGACTAAGCAGGATTCATTTGGGATGCCGCAACTCCGCAAGCATTCAGATTACAGCCTAGACCTGGAGTCTGCGAATGAATTCAATGTGGAGGTGCTGGTATGTATCAGTGACACCTCTATATAGTCTGATATTAACAGTGAGAACCTCTATATAGTCTGATATTACAACAACAACAAAATTACATTTGTAGAGCGCCTTTCATGTCGGGAGGCCTTTCATGTCCCAAAGTGCTGAACAGTAAAATGTCGGGGCCCGAGCATGGGGGAGGGGTGGTGTAGGAGTGAGGGAAGGCAGAGAGGTGGGAGGGAGACCGAAGGCACAGTCGAAGAGAAGAGTCTTGAAACTGGCCTTGAAGGAGGCGAGGGAGGAAGCGAGGCGAAGGGAACGTGGCCCTCTATATAGTCTGATATTAGCAGTGAGAATCTCTATATAGTCTGACATTAACAGTGAGAACCTCTATATAGTCTGATATTAACAGTGAGAACCTCTATATAGTCTGATATTAACAGTGAGAACCTCTATATAGTCTGATATTAACAGTGAGAACCTCTATATAGTCTGACATTAACTGCGAGAACCTCTATATAGTCTGGGACTATATTAAATGGAATCTTGTTGTTGTTGATATTAACAGTCAGACCCTCTATGTAGTCTGACAGTAACAGTCAGACCCTCTATATATAGTCTAACATTAACAGTGAGAACCTCTATATAGTCTGATATTAACAGTGAGAACCTCTATATAGTCTGATATTAACAGTGAGAACCTCTATATAGTCTGATATTGACAGTTAGACCCTTTATATAGTCTGATATTAACAGTGAGAACCTCTATATAGTCTGATATTAACAGTGAGAACCTCTATATAGTCTGATATTAACAGTGAGAACCTCGATATAGTCTGATATTAACAGTGAGAACCTCTATATAGTCTGACATTAACAGTGAGAACCTCTATATAGTCTGATATTGACATTGACTCTCTTTATAGTTTGATGTTAACAGTCAGAACCTCTACATGTTTCAGTGTGATTTGATGCTTTGCCTTTGACTCTGAAGGACTATAATGAGCCCCACGAGAAATGGAAAGCCCGGAAGAATGCGATCTTACACACCATTAGGGAGCGGGAATCTCGCAGGTTAATGGAGAACCGCTTTAAGGTGCTGGAGAGCGTGGTGTTCGAAGAGCAGAAGAAGGCTGCAAAGGGCGCCATTCTCAACAAGGTGTTTTGTGTGTGTGTGTGTGTGTGTGCCTCTCTCTTTCTCTCACTATCTCTCTGTCTCCACACTGTGTGTGTGCCTCTCTCTTTCTCTGACTATCTCTCTGTCTCCACACTGTGTGTGTGTGTGTGTGTCTCTCTTTCTCTCGCTATCTGTCTTCACACTGTGTGTGTGTGTCTCTCTTTCTCTCGCTATCTCTCTGTCTCCACACTGTGTGTGTGTGTGTCTCACTCTCTTGCCTCTCACTCTTTGTGCAGCTCGCTAACTAACTTGCTAACTCTGTCTCTACACCTCACTAACCGCGCGTGTGGGTCTTTCTCTGTCTCTGCACCTCAGCAGCAACTTGCATTTATATTGCGCCCTTCACGCCAGACGGCGTCTGGGGGTGCGTTAACCTCACTAACTAATAATAAAAAAAAATAATCATTCTTGTTGCGGTTATAACCTCACTAACGGCAGTTGAACGCCTCGTTCTTTCCCAGGCCATCGACGTGATCAGTGAGCTGGGCAGCGAGGCCGGGAGCCTGGCCTCTCAGAGGGAGGAGCTGCTGAACAAGCAAAAGGAATTGATGGAAAGGTTTATACGTCTCTCCGGTAAGGCTCACAACCGGAAAGACGTCTCGCCCACAAAACACACAGTGGCTCCACTTTACAACGTATCCTGTGAAGCGCTTAGAGACGTCGCGAAGATGTGATCAGGCGCTGTGTCAAATACAGTTATTATTATTATTCCTCTTCGACCACTCCCTCCTACCCTCATCCTCCCCATCCTCCACCCCCCTCCTGATCCCAACCACCAGCTCGGGTGCAGATCTCGACTGTCCAGCGCCTTGGGACTTCCTCCCGACTCTGTGAAAGGCGCCGCGTAAATATCAAGTGTTGTTGTTTAATGCGTGGTTTTAATGCACCAGTTTATTCTCTTCAGCAGCAACGACGCCGACGGGCAGAGCGAGTCCACTGGCGTCCGCTTCCCCGCTGGGCTGCGCTCCGGGTTCTAACCCGGCGGGAATGTCCTGTGTGTCCGGCTTACCGGAAACGCCGAGCGCGGTGAGGGCCATCGCCACTCGTGGTAGCAACGACAACAACCCCCACCACAACAGTAGCCACAGCGCGTCTGCGAGTCAGCCCCCCGAGCTGCTGTTTCAGGGCAGCCCCGACAAGCCACGCCACGTAGCTCCCGCGCTGGCGGCGAGAGTCGCACCGGACGCCAGCGGCCCAGCGGAAAGGCGGGACGAGGTGGAGCGGGCTGGTCTGCAGCTCCACACGGCCGGCGCCATCCGTCACACATCCACCCATCAGCCCAGCGCTCTCGGAGATGAGCTGAGCCACTGCGGTTTCCCTGGGGAGCAGCTCCGGTCGGCTCCGACCGTCAAGACCTCGCCCGTGGAGAGGGACCTGTTTTATCCGACGGCCTTTGACACCAGCTGGCTCCCGACCAACGGTGAAATGGCTTCCTTTCTGTCGGAGGAGCTGGAGGGTGTTGGGAAGGACCTGGAGGACGAGGAGGAGGCGGAGGAGGGGTGTCCGAGGGTGCGGCTGAGCGCCGGCGAGCTCGCTGCTCTGCAGCCGGACGGAGGCTCGGGAGAGCCGGGCTACGGGGAGTCAGCCGCTGAGTCCGACCCGCTCGGAGCCGAGAGGAAGAAGTGGGAGCGTCAGGAGGAAGCCGCTTTCGCCTCGGTGCAGGGATCGTCCGTGGGCAGCTCGGACTGGGGCAGCCACTCCGACTTCGATCTGACCGCGGAGGATGTCAACGAGATTGACGTGGAAATACTGGTATGTTAGACATCGACCGCGGTGTGCCCATGCATGTGTGGTGTGTGTACGTGCGTGTGTGTGTGGTACGTCGCCGTGTACAATTGGCTGCCGCGTTTCCCTCCCACCCCCACAAAACGCACAGTCGATCCACTTCCCAGCGAGGCTCTTTTGAGACGTCTCAACCACGTGGCGCTGCGTCAAGTGCAAGGATTATTACAGGATTATTGTGAATTACCCGTTTGACTGACTGTCCAGCGTCTTGGGCCGTCCTCTTGCCCCGAGAGGCGCGGTATAAATGCCACTTGTCGTTGTCGTCGTCGTCGTATTTCTTTAGTTGACACCTAAATCCGGGCAATTGATAAAATGGTTGGCAAATAATCACTGGCTGCCTTTCTGCTTTTTCACCGAAACTCGCAGAGCCACTCGGACAGCGAGTACATCGACATGGAGATGGAAGAGGGTGAGGTGGAGGACGGGCTTCCCGTGTCTTTAGCCGTCAGCAAATTGTGTGCCCCTCCCAGGTCAGTAGCTCCATGTCCCCCACCCCACCATCGGGCGGTAGGGCCTTCAGCCTCTCTGCCCCCCCCCCCCCCCCAACCCTTTGGAACTCCACAATCCCTTCGCTTGGCTCTCCTCCCTCCCTCCCTCACCTGCGTTACAGTTTGTACACTTTACGGCTACGTGTGGGACGTTGCTCCATTTGCAAGTTAGCTGCAATGACACACAGTCACTACGTTCTACGGCATCAGCCCGTGAAGCGCTCTACGTCGTCTGAATGCTGTGATGAGAATGCAAGTTATTGGGGTGAAAACTAATGCACGTCAATCTTGTTTGACAGGTGGCATTTTCACAATTATTCTCAAGTGCCCATGTTACAATCTCACAGACACCCGACCAAGAGAAGGGTAAGTCAGGGTCGCACGGCATAACCTACACTGTGCGTGCGCTATTCATTGCAGCCGGTAAGTGCACGTGCGGCGACGGATCAAGACTATCGTGGAGTCCTGTAGCTCAGCGGTTAGAGCACTCGCCTCGCAAGCGGGAGGACCTGGGTCTGATTCCCAGGCAGGTCAGGGTGAACTGTTTCCTTACTCTGCACAGGCCTCTGTTTACCGAGCAGTAAACTGGCTATTAGACGACTAGCGGATCGCGTTTCCGGGGGTAATAATCTCTTCAAAAAAAATTAAACAATAATAATTTGATCACTCAATCCACGATTGTTTGTGGGGACGTCGCTGGGCGCAGTTGGCTGTCGTGTTTGGCCCACAAAACACACAGTCACTACACTTTACAGTGTATCCTGTAAAGCGCTGTGAAACGTCCCAACAATGTGATAAGGCGCTATATCAAATGCAAGGATTATATTATTATATAGGAACACAGGAACAGAAGTAGGCCATTCAGCCTCTCGAGCCTGTTCTGCTGTTCTATATCAAATGCAAGGATCATTATTATTTATATTATTTGTGTTTAAACCGGGAAGACCTTTCCGTTGGAGCTGAGGAGAAGCAGGAAGAACCTCCTGAGACACACTATGCGGGAGCGAGAGCTACGACGGTTGATGCAGACTCGTTTCAATGGGCTGAGAGAACTTCTCTTCAAGTACGAGAAGGTTTCCAAGCGGGCCATCCTGAACGAGGTCAGCCTTCGATCCTTCACCCCTTTATTTATTAATCAAAGTAATAATAATCCTAGCATTTGATTCAGCGCCCGATCATAACGAGACGTCTCACAGCGTTTCACACTGTAAAGTGTAGTGACTGTGTATTTTGTGGGCGCCAAATGTGCCCAGCGACGTCCCCACAAGCAGCCGTGGATTGAAGTGACCAAATTATTATTTGGGGGGATTTTTTTGTGAAGGAATTATTTCCCCCAGGAAGCGATCAGAACTCTGGAACACTCTCCCCCAATCCCTCACACTCGTCTTCAAATCCCTTCGTGCCCTGGTACCTCCCTACCTCTCCCACCTACTTACTCACCAACCCACTACCCTCTGTCTTAGCTCCGACCTGCTGCTTGTCCCTCGTGCACTCTATTCAAGTGGTCGCACTTTCAGTCAATAGTCCCCGAAGCTCTTGTCACTCTCTCCCTCCGCCGTTCCTTCCTTCCTTCCTTCCCTCCCCATTTTCAGGTTGCACCTGAAGGCCTTCCAATTCCACGCTGCATATGCTCACCTCCCCCAGTTCGGCATCGTACTCCCGTCACTATCAAGCGCTCCGGCACGCTACCCTGTGTGAAGGGTGGGGCGTAAAGGCGAGTTGTTGTATTTTATGGACGAAACGTGTGCGGCCAATTGCGCACAGCGGTGTCCCACAAACAGTCGTGGATCGAGTGACCAATTATTGTTATGACAGTTTTGAGAAGGCTCACTGATGGGCACCGGCTTCTGTCCCCGCAGGCCATCAATGAAATCCAGGCCTTGAACGAAAAGGCGCAGAAATTGGCGGTGGAGAAAAAGCTGCTGATGAAAAAGCACAGGGCGTTGTTCAAGATCATCTCAGTCCTGTCCGGTAAGTCACGCCTGGCTCTACAGTACTGCTAACAGCAGCCGACGGGAATAAAGCTCCTCCGGAAATCTGTTAGAGCAGAACTGGACATCACAGAATGTTACGGCACAGAAGGAGACCATTCGATCCATTTTGCCTGCGACGGCTCTTTGAAAGAGCCACCAACTAGTCCCCACTCCCCTACGTTTACCCCAACAAGTCCCACTCCCCTGCTCTGGTCTCCCCTCTGACTCTTTTCTCAAGACCGTCCTCTTCGACCAACTGAGCCTTCGGTCACCCCTCCTACCCCCACCCTCCCTGCCCTCCACCCCTCCTGATCTCAAAGACCAGCTCGGGTCCAATTCCTTGACTGTCCAGCGCCTTGGGACGTCCTCCTGACGTGAAAGGTGTTGTGTAAATGTGACGTGTTGTTGTCTCTACGTTGCACAGGAGAGAAGAAGTGTAAGGATCAGCAAAGCAGAGCGGCTGAATGCGAGGAGGTGACAAAGGGAGTTACAAGGCAGACATCGAGTGTAAGTGTGGAGATAATAATAATAATCCTTGCATTTGAAGCATTTGACACTTCCAGACGTCTCTTCACAAAGCGCTTAACTGTAAAGTGAACTGACTGTACATTTTGAGGGCGAAAATTGCGCGCAGCAGCGTCCCAACAAACAGCCGCGGATTGACCGACGACATTATTATTTTATTTTTTTTATAAATGATTGTTAAAATACTCTGTCAATACTCGAACCCGCACTTGACGTTCCAAGTAATGCGCTTTCGTGTTCTTTTTCCCCCCCCCCCCAGCTGCTCTCTACTGGGAAGGTGAACGATGAAGATTCAACTTTGGTCCCTGTAGCTGGTAAAATCTCACTCGTGGTTAAGACATTTTAGTGCCTGAAAATAAGTATGTATAATAATAATAATAATAATAATAATCCTTGCATTTGATATAGCGCTTTTCACGTCGGGAGGACGTCCCAAAGCGCTTCACAGATCACACTGTAAAGTGAATTGACTGTATATTTGTGGGCGAACGTATGTGTATGTGTTCAGGAATAATAATAATACTAATAATCCCAATCCTTGCATTTGATGCAGCGCCTTTTCGCGTCTTCGAGACGTCTCGAAGCGCTTCACGGGGTACCCTGTGACGCGTGGTGCCTGTGTATTTCGTGGGCGAAACACAGCAGCCACTTTGCACACAGCAGTGACCCACAAACAGCTGTGAGATAAACGGTCAACTTTATTTGGGGGATTATCGGCCAGTTTTTCCCGGGAGGGAGAGAGAAGCTTTTCTTTTCGAGCGGCGCCGCGGGAGATCTTTGACGTCCACCTAAGTCGTCCATAGACGGGGAGTGAGTGACATTTAACGGATGGGGTCTCCCGACAATGCAACACACACCGCTCCCCCCCCCCCCCCCCCCAGCACTGCATTGGGAGCGTCAGCTTAGACTGTGCGATTCCAAGCCCTGTGGGGGCTTGAACACACAACCTTCTGACTCCGAGGCACGACTGCTCCAGGCTGACATCCTGTAAAGGGTTAGTGGGAATCTGGAGCTCTCTCTCTCGCTCTCTCCCCCACCCCACCACCACAAAAAGGCTGTGGGTTATGGCTGTGGATCCATTCACATTGTCGAGACCGAGGTGGACAGATGTTTGTTAGGTCAGGATGTCAAGGGATATGGGGCAAAGGCGGGTAATTGGAGTTGAGGTACAGATCAGCCATAATGGCAGAACAGGCTCGAGGGGCTGAATGGCCTCCTCCTGCTCCTATATTTGGCTATTTTTGTTTCCCCCCCGGCTTCCTCCTCAGACTGATCTCTTGTGTGCGTGTGTGTGCGTGTGTGGTGTCCGCAGGAACCCCCTTTCACCTCCTCCTGAAGAGAATCGCGGTTTCCCCCCGGAGCGAGGAGTTGGCAGTGGAGCGCGAGGCGCTGAGCAACAGCACGAAACTCGGCCACAGGAGCCGGCTCTGCCTCCAGCCTTTCCAGGTCGGTACCGACCGCGCCTCAGGCTGACACAGCGCCTCGCGCTGCCTTTCCCCAGCCCGGGGCTTGTCTCGAGACCCTCCTCCTCCTCCTCTTCCTCGACGGCGCCTTCAGTCGCCCTCAAAAGTTTGCAGAGAGTAACTGGTTCGATGAGCTCGCGGTAGCTGGTCTTTACCAGCAGGCGGAGCAAAGATATATTGGCCCGTGTTTGTGTATGTTTCTTTCTCTCTCTCTCTCTCTAGCTGTTGGTATGTACGTGTGTCTATCTGTGTGTGTGTGTGCGTGTGTATGTGTCTTCTTGTGTGTCTATCTGTGTGTGTGTGTGTCTTCTCGTGTGTCTATCTGTGTGTGTATGTGTCTTCTCGTGTGTCTGTGTGTGTGTGTGTCTTCTCGTGTGTCTATCTGTGTGTGTGTGTCTTCTTGTGTGTGTGTGTGTTTTTTCTCGTTTGTATCTGTGTGTGTGTGTGTGCGTGTGTGTGTGTCTTCTCGTGTGTCTATCTGTGTCTGTGTGTGTGTGTGTTTTTTCTCGTGTGTCTATCTGTGTGTGTGTGTGTGCGTGTGCATGTGTCTTCTCGTGTGTCTATCTGTGTGTGTGTCTTCTCGTGTGTCTGTGTGTGTGTCTTCTCGTGTGTCTATCTGTGTGTGTGTGTGTGTGTGTGTTCTCGTGTGTCTATCTGTGTGTGTGTGTATGTGTCTTCTCGTGTGTCTGTGTGTGTGTGTTTTCTCGTGTGTCTATCTCTGTGTGTGTGTGTATGTGTCTTCTCGTGTGTCTGTGTGTGTGTGTGTGTGTCTTCTCGTGTGTGTGTGTGTGTTTTCTCGTGTGTCTGTGTGTGTGTGTTTTTCTCATGTGCCTGTCTGTGTGTGTGTGTTTTTCTCGTGTGTCTATCTGTGTGGTGTGTGTGTGTGTCTCTCTCTGTCTCACACCTATGTGTCCCTTTCATTCCCACACCTTTCTATTTGTGTGTGTTTCTGTTTCTCTCGGGTATTTCTATAAGTGTGCGTGTGTGCGTGTTTCCACATTAGAGCTGTCCGCTCCCTCTGCTAAGCGGACTCCGACCTGCTCCACGTCCCCCGCCCGCCCCCGGCTCCACTCTCGGCGGTTGCTCATTCAGTCTCTCTTCCCCCCCCCCCCCCCCCCCCCCCCCCCCCCCCCTCCCTGCCCTCCACCCCCCCAAACCCCCCCAACTTCCGTCTCCGTGTTTTTTTTCCACAACAGGGAGCTGCTCATCTGGCATCCCGAGCATCTTTTCCCGACACATAGAGAATCCGGGAGGGTGGGGACAGCCCGAGAGAGACCCAGATAAGGACCTGCGGACGCTACAGGATTGGGAGCAGCTGCGATCGATACCCCACGAGCCGTCGAACGCCGAGCGGTCAACGCGGGGCGATATTCCCGGCTACAGACTGACCAGAGAGGAGCCGGGTGTGAGGGGAGCGAGCGAGGGGAGCGAGCTGGGAACGGGAGCCGCTCCCGAGCCCGCCGCGGGGCCGGTCGGGCCCAGGTCTTGCACGGTGCTGTCCACGGTAACTCAGGCGGGCAGGAAAAGCTCGGAAGCTGCTGGATTTGGGGTTAGAGGCAGAACCCAGGGCCTGAAAGCCACCCCGGGCCGGGACATCCTGCGCAAGCTGGCCAAGAAGGTGCAAGAGGCCGGCATCAAGCCCTGGTCCTGGAAGTCGCGGAGAGACGAGGGGGAGCCTGGGAGTGAGGCGGCAGGGGAGGAGAGGTGTGCGTACGGCAGCCGGGAGCAGGTGGAGGCGGAGGAGGCACTCAGGCAGAGGAACGTCAGTGGGAGTTTGCTACACCACGTCAGCCCGGAACGCCACCCCGGCTTAGCCGAGACGGGGTTCGGGATGTCCCCTGCTGATGTCAACACGGCCCGCGGTTATCTGCCGTTCGACCCCACACTGCCCGCACCGAGGTAACCCATCGCCAAGGTAGCCAGCGCTACTGATCCCGAACTCCTTCCTCCTCCTCTCTCTCTCTTTCTCTCTCTCTCTCTCTCTCTCTCTCTCCGTGCCGCGGTGAGAAAGACACGCGGCTGCTAGACGTGTCCGTTTCTCGTTCGTCTGCGAGGAGCTGGAGTCTGGCGTCCAACGCCATTCCGATGCCAAACGCAACACAGAGAGCGCTCTGGGGCGCTACACTGCGTGAGGGGCACGGTGGTGTTGACCGCACGTCTCCCACCTCTCGTCCCCCCCCGTCCCCCCCCCCCCCGGCGCGAGGTGAGCTATGCCTGGCCTGGATGTACAGCGGAACAAAGCCTGGATGACATTAACCAAATAATAATTTGGTCGCTCAACCCACGACTGCTTGTGGGATGGGACGTCGCCGGGCGCAATTGGCTGCCGCGTTTCGCCCACAAAACACACAACACAGTCACTCCACTTTACAGTGTATCCTGTGAAGCGCTTTGAGGCGTCTCGACGACGTGATAAGGTGCTATATCAAATGCGAGGATTATTTTTATTATTAATTTTCCGTGTCGGGTATTGTCTAAAGCACGAAGACCCCATTACTTCCCTCAACTCTTTTCCCCGCCTCCTTTCCCTACCTCCCCCCTCTGTTTCCGGGAGTGGGGATGAAAGAGACAGAGAGCCCGGCCGCCAATGGTGGAGCGAAGGGGGCGAAGGACAAGCAGAAGGCCAAAGCCAGCCTAACGTTCTGTTCCTAATCAAAATGATCTGAATGTTGAATTATTAAACGGCTGGCCTGGGCAAGAGTGAGGGGGAGAAGAGTTGAGCTGCTCCAGATTCCAGGCCTTAATGTAGTGAAATGCTTACTCGAAAGCCAGCCTTTGTTTAACCCTTGGAGTCCTGAAGCGTAGTGGTTAGAGTTACAGTGGCAGCAGCTATATTCTGTGAAGCGCTTTGAGGCGCCTCACAGACGTGAGTGATGTAAGGCGCCACATCAAATGCAAGGATTATTGATGTTGTTATTGTATTGAGAGCTGGAGCGTCAGTGTTCATAATGACCCTTGCAGTTGATAGAGTGCCTTTGTTGAGCTGTCCCAAAGCGCTTCACGGAATAGGCTGTAAAGTGTAGTGACTGTGTACTTGTGGGCGAAACGCAGCAGCAGGTTAGTTGCACGCAGTCAGTGCCCCGCAAACCGTCGTGGATTGAGTGACCAACTTATTGTTATTTTTATTGCAAGAGAATATTATTTCTGGAAAGCAATCTGCCAATCAACTAACCGGTGGGTTCCTAGTTACTGCTAGGTAAACAGAGGAGTGTGCGTGGAGTAAGGAAACTTGCCCAAGGTTTCGCCCTGACCTGGAGTCCAAACCGAATCCTCTTGCTTGCAAGGCGAGCGCTCTAACCACCGAGTTAACAGGACTCCACATACGCCTTTATCTACTGCAACTATCCAGTAATCGTTTAATCACTAATGTGACTTCAGTGCTTTGAATTCCTGCTGAAAACTTTTTAAAAAAAATGTTTGTGGTGGTTGGCGGGGCGATGGGTTAGCAACAGATTAATGGCGGAGATAATGGTCAGGAAATAGTGTGTAAGGGGGAACGTTTTAATGAGCGGGTAAGGGCATAAAAATGAAGGTTTACATGAATTTTTTATTTTGTTTTATCTGGCAAGCTAATCGATTTGGCATCGTCCCCAAGTCTCAGTGTGCTACAGTATATAGACAGAATGTTTCCATTGTACCTCATTTGGGGAAAGATTGCCAAAGTGAACTAAACTGAAATGAGCGACTACGTGATCTAATATTCCCACAACATAATTTTAGAGCACTTGTTTGTTTACCAAAGTGCCCATATGGTTGGGGTCCGGTATTGTAGTGGTTAGAGCGCTCGCCTCGCAAGCGAGAGGATCTGGGTTCCTGGGCGGGGTCAGGGCGAAACTTTAGGAAAATTTTCTTGTGCCACACTCACGCCTCTGTTTAGCTTACTGCTGTAAGTAAGAACCCGGTTGTTAGTCGAATGGCTGATCGCTTTCTGGGGTTAATAATCCCTTCAAAAAAAATAATAATTTGGTCACTCAATCCACGACTGTTGTGTGCCACGTTTCGCCCACAAAATACAGTCGATTCACTTTATATTATTTTCTTTGAAGCGCTTTGTGATGTCTCAACGATGTGATGAGGCACTATTATCAAATGCAAGGATTATTAATGTGCTAGTCATAAAGAAATACGTAGGAGTCTGATTTCTCTTTTTTTTCCTTAACGTACATATAAAGGTGTGTGGTGGTGCTGTGCGATCCCAGGAAGAATGAGCAAAGTCATATCCTCAATGCTTCCAGGTAACACAGAAACCAGTGTAAAACCTGTCTTGCTGCTAATTTTATTGTGACACATAAGAAAATAAGAATTTGCTCAAGGTCCATCCAGTTCGCCTTCCACCAACCATCCTGGCAGTTGCTTGCACACGTTGCATCCCACATAATATACTGTATTCCCCAGATATTATTTCCTAAAATAAATCTTATCATTTGTTCTTGATGGAATCGACACTTCCACTATCTGTCTCCCTCGGGAGTCTGTTCCATACGTTTACTACTCGCTCACTGAGGTAGTGCAAGTTGTCTGCAGTACGTAAACCATACTATGATCCACCATTCTTGATTGTTGTTTCCTGATTTAGGAAAGCAATTAGCGCCTTGGCATTCTCGCCAGATGGAAAATATTTGGTGACTGGAGAGGTGAGTGGGTTTCCAAGTATTGTGCAAATATTGTTTACAGTGCACAGTCTGTGTTTTTAGTGTGTGGGTGCATTAACTGTTTCCCATCCCTGCTCTGTTATCACAGGTAATAGCTGGTAATAACACTAACCTCCCATTACCTAGCAACGTATTTGTATGACACTGCTGTTAAATGATAGTTATAAACAGAATTCACTCTATTAATAATTTGGTCACTCAATGTTTATGGTACACTGCTGTGCACAATTGTCTTTGAGACGTGATAAAGCTCTGTATTAAAGGATTATTATAATAAGTAGTTTTAGTACAAATCCTCATTTGATACACTGCCTTTCACATTGGGAGCACCCTCCCAAAGCGCTTCACAAGTGAAGTGTGGAGACTGTGTTTTGTGGGCTGTGTCCATAATTCTCCTTCACATCTGAAGTTAGTCATTATATGTAAGTGTTGCTAATGTTTGGAACATTTTTTATTATATTTAATGCTATCTGAAAAGGGCAAGATTGGAGAACGTGTGCTGAGTAACGGTCAAGGAATGTTTGTGTTTGAAAGTTGAACGCCATTAGTAGAGAAAGCTTTCAGATGTTAGTTCTCCATTACTAAGCGCCATAAATCTCACAGCCCAGCTTGCTAGTTGAGTGGGTTTTTATTTAAGAGTCTGAGATTATAGTTGTGCGCGGGATTGATAAATGGCTAAATTGAGTTTACAGAATCATGGTGTTTAAACAGAACAGTCAGGGGAAAGCTTCGCACAGAATTGACGTGGCTGGTGCAAGGGATGAGTGTTGGACCACACCATAGCTCCTATCTAACGCATTGGGACGTCCTCCCAATGTGAAAGGCGCTATACAAATGTTATTTGTTGTTGTTAATCCGTGGAATCCTGTAGTGCAGTGAATAGCACACTCGCCTCGCAAGCGAGAGGTCTTGGGTTTGATTCCCGGGCAAAGCGAAACCTTAGGCAAGATTCCTTGCTCCACATGCCTCTGTTTACCTCGTAGTAAGTAGAAACCTAGTGTTAGTCGACTGGCAGATCGATTATTCCGGGGTAATAGTCCTTCCAAAATTAATTAATAGTTTGGTAACTCAATCCATGACTGTTTGTGGGACACTGCCATTGCACGATTGATTGATTGATTGCTGTTTTGCAACGATATTTATCCTGTGTGTCTTTAACCTCTCCAGAGTGGACACGAGCCCGCTGTGCGGGTGTGGAATGTGGCTGAGAAGACCCAAGTGGCTGAGTTACAATGCCACATGTACGGAGTGCTGTGCGTGGCCTTCTCCCCCAACATGAAGTATATTGTATCGGTGGGCTTCCAGCATAACAAGACCGTCAACGTCTGGGATTGGAAGGTAAGAGAGAGAAAATCTTAAATTAGGTTCTAAATGTAGGCGTCGGGAAGCTTTTGCACTTCAATAATACAGTCACTCCACTTTACAGTATGTCCCGTGAAGCGCTTTGAGATGACGGATTATGATTGTGTTCCGAAGTATTTACAAAAAATCTCTTATTTTTGACAGAAAAACTGCATTGTAGCTTCTAACAAGGTCTCCAGTAAGGTCACGGCCATCTCCTTTTCCGAAGACGGCAGTTACTTTGTGACGGTTGGCCACAGGCACGTCAAGTTCTGGTACTTGAACGAATCGAAAGCCTGCAAGGTGGGAGTACACATCCTTATTGTCTCAACTGCATTCTTAGACTATTCCGCAGTTAACCATCTAAGCTCTAAGCTCCATCTCTAAGTTATGTAATTCTTTTTGTGTGTGTGCTTTGAACGCAGGCAAATGTGACCATTCCTCTATTGGGGCGATCAGGACTGCTGGGGGAGCTGCACAATAACCTGTTCTGTGGCGTAGTGTGTGTTAAGGGCAAGACTTTCTGCAGCACCAGCTCCGGCCTTCTGTGTCAGTTCAACTCGAGAAGACAGCTTGACAAGTGGCTGGATCTACAGGTAAAGTGTCTCTGTCGTCTGAAGGTCAAAAATGTTTACTGGGGTAAACGTGCAGATATGTGCACAAGTGATATGTAAGTCGAGAAATTTTCTGTTGCTCTCAAATTCCTTTTTCAAAGCATCAGTTAAATCATCTTGCGGGTTATTAAGCCGCCACTGTTTGGAAAATGCGCTGTGGCTGCCTAGTAGGGAATTTGCCGAAGGTTTGGCCTCGCTTGCGAATCGAACCCGGGTCCTTGATATTGTCGCATTACCAATAAATGTGAAACTCTACGCAAACCATACAGTTGTTCTAAGAACCCTCAGCAGGTCAGGCCGAGAGAAAAGTGGGTTAACGTCTCAGACCTTTCATCACAAGTTTTTATTTCAGATTTCCAGCATCTTCTGTACATCCTGTGAAGCTCTTTTAGACGTCTCAAAGACCCAATAAGGCACAACATCAAATGCAAGGATTATGATTATTATTATTCAGAGTATTTTGCCTTTTGTTTGCTAAACGTTGTTTATTTTCTGTGCCAATTTTTTTTTCTTTCAGACATCCGTTGCGAACTCGATGACTGTGGCAGAGAATTTTATCATCTGTGGCTGTTCTGATGGGACAGTGAAACTGTTTGATCCCGCGACCCTCCAGCTTATCACCCATCTGCCCAAACCTCATCACCTGGGTGTGGATGTAGCAGCTGGACTTGAACCAAGGTAAGTAAACGTGCCAGGTAGGTCTCGACTCTCCTTCCTCTCCCTGCCCATCCTTCTGAACATGAAAGCTGTATTGCAAGCAGTTCTGACCTGTTACCAAATGCAATGCAGCCCCGTAGCATAGCAGTTAGCGCTCTCACCTCGCAAGCAAGCGAGAGAATCGGGGTTCCCGGGCGGGGTCAAGGCGAAACCTCAGGCAACATAAGTCAACATACTCCATCCACGCGCCTCTGTTTACCTAACAGTACGTTGAAACCCAGTTGTCAGTCTAGTGGTGGATCGCTTTTCCGGAGATAGTAATCCCTCAAAAAAAAACATTTGACCACTCAATCCACAACTTTTTGCGGGACACTGCTGTGAGCAATTGGCCGCGCGTTTCGCCCACAAACACGCAGTCACTACAGTATCTCCTGTGAATCGCTTTGAGACGGTCTCAAGAGTGATAAGGCGCTAAATCAAACGGAGGATTATTATTTTTATCTTCTCTCTTCAGCCATCTCTTTACCCCGAAAACTGACGCTATCTATCCCGACACTGTGGCTGTGGCTTTCGACCCCGAAATCAGTGGCTGTCATGTGTGACAATGACCACAGTCTGTACGTGTGGGATATAAAAGACACTAAGAACGTGAAAAAGATTTACTCTGCGCTTTATCACAGTTCGAGTGTGTGGAACATAGAGGTAGGTAGGAAACTGATCTTGACCCTTAACTATCAGTGTCGTGTATTAATGTTATTGATGAGGTTTGGAAGGTCGGGTGATTTGAATGTCGAGGTGTAAGAACAACTGCAAGTGGAAGCTGCTTTTGCTGGATGCCAGTTGACCCCAGATGCTGAGTAAATCAGACACAACGTCCAGCCCGCCCGATTCATTTGTATTTTTACCCGTAAAATTTGTATTCGTATTCTTACCTCAAGCGCTCTGGGACTCTACCCTGAGTGAGGCTGTACTGTGTTGTTGATGTTGTTGTAATTGTGACAGTGTCCCTTTGGCAGGTTTATCCCAACTGGAAGACGGTAACCAGTCTTGCCTCCCGCCTGCGTCCTTCATAACCTGCTCCTCGGACAACACTATTCGGCTGTGGAATTCAAGCCGCGCCTCTGGGTTTTGCCGCACTTCGTTTCACAGGAATATTTATAGCACTGTAAGCTTTTTTTCATCTTTTTCCACTCACCCACCAGCCTTTCTTGGGTCTGTGTGTCTGCCTGCATGTGTATCTGTCTGTGTGCTAGAATGGCAGTTCTGTTGGG